CATTCTTAATGATTTTTATTTTATTCTTGTAAAAAATCAAAATGCGATTTATTCATTTTTTTATTCGGTTCATATTCGTATACAATAACTTTTGAGAACTTAACAAGAAAGGTGATCGCTTCAAACAATTACTCGAGTCTCGATCAAGTTATTTGTTTATGCAGTAGTAAAAGTAAAGCTCTGCTCGTCTCTTAATATCTGCTCCGGTATTCTGTAAAAATCACAAGAAATTGTTGAAAGCGGTTGGAGTTTATTTTATTCTGTGTGCATAATCAAAAATGTGTGCAAATGTCAAAATTGTTTCTGTGCTAAACTCTCGTCTCATTTGCTCGAATTCCGTTTTTTCCCTTCTTCTAAGGAAGATGAAAGAATGCATATTTTAATCATCTTCGCCACTACCTCGACTTCCTCTTCCTGTATCCTTAGGCCAAGGTCATTTGCACAATGTAGGCTTAGTCTAATTTTACTAGATTCAAGTGTGATATTACTATGTAAAAATATGTGTTCTGCGGATTCCTAAAAAATCGAATTCGATTCGTCTATCTATGTCGGAAAAATTAATATTAAAAAAAGTGGATTTTAAGCAGAAACATTTCTTGGCATAAGTGACAGCCACCTGTATCTGAACATATTTACGTATGTATTTAATATTATTTTTATTAAACTAAACGTGTGCACACTCCCGTCACTTGTCCAGCTACACAAAGTGTAAAAGATGCAAATTAAAAGATTTCAGGAAAATGTAAACGTAACCAAACGTGATTTGTGGCTACCGCCAGTTGCAATCGAAAAAATTATATACATTTTTCTTTTTACATGAAAAGGTTAAAAAATAAAACGGCCCGTCATGCGAAGAAAGTGTTTTTCTTTTTATATTAACAAACAGTCAATTTTAATAGATAATTAACACTTTAAATTAATACGAAAACTTATAATTGCTTGATTGCGGCCACGACACGCTTGAATTTTTTAACACTTAAAAGCAACGAGAACGCTTAAAATTTTCTCGTTTGTGGTTACTAAAATTTGATTGCCGTAATTTTGTCTTTGTGTATGAAAAATTAATGAAAAATTTCCTTTCATTTTATATAAGAAGCTTTCTTCTTCCTCTATCAAGTAATTTTTGCCGTTACACGCAACAAAAGTTCTTCTATAAATACATAATTGGTCATTAACCTATGTTCCTGTTATCAGTCTCTCACCCTTTTTATACATTTATATTGTTACTTGGGCTTTATGGTTACGAATTCAAAGAAGAACATCTGTGCAACGTAGATGCGTTATACATTCTAAGAAGCTCCTCTTCTTTTTGTTTTTTATTGCACTCCATTCATATTCATATTGTAGTTCGCTTACATGCAGGCATTGAAATATTGTCTGCATGCGAAATATGAAAACAAAGATTAGTTTTTGTTTTCTTTAGAACTTCTTGAACTAACACCAGTACAAAGTAGAATGGCTTCTATTTTTTGCTTACCTGTTTTTTATTGTTATGAAATAATTACTGGTCTTTTTTCTTTACTACTTTCATATTTTTCATTTTTCATACTTGTTGCATGCCTTCAACAATATGGCTTTTAAACACGCTTACCCAAAACAAGTGAAAAGACTGTCTCCGACTTATGGCGAATCTTGCGAGTACGTGGTCTCGATTATAGAGGTAGAAATTTTTTGAATTGTACACTTTGACACTGAGGAAATTGATATCATTTGTACGTAGAATCTCTATATAGTTGGAAAGGTTATTTGCGTCAAACGTTGAAGCCAAACGTTGTATTGATCGATAGTTGTTTAACTATATGGGCCAATCACGCCTGCTTTTCGAAAGAATTAATCATTCCAATCCACGAGTTTATCTTCTTTGCCGGCTCTAATGTGTATTTCTGAATAATGAAAGCGTAACATACACATAAGTATACCTACATTCTTTGTTAGGTTAGGCTATAGAAAGAAAACATAAATGAAATTTTTATATTGAACCTGAAATTGAAAACTATTAAAAACTTGTCTGCGTGAAATGTAGGAAGAAAATAAAGATTTTGTCAGAATGCTTTAGTCAAAGTTGTAAACAAAACGTCACACTAAAGAAGAGTTTAAGACAACAATTTTTTGCTCTGCCTGCTTGCTTAAGAATAATTTACTGCTTATTTTTTAAAACAAAATTTATTAATAAAGTTCTATTTAGGTAAAAAATGTAACCCTGTGCCCAGGAGAATACTTGACAATTACGTGTCTTCCGTTATGAAGTACCAGAAGGCATTGAAGATTTCATAACTTTTTCGTACTTTAAGGCTAAATGATCATTTGGCTATTAAAGCGAGCAAAAGTAATCTCTTGATTACGACTAAAAAATTCAAAGATTCAAGGCAGTTCGCCGCTGAAAATATGCAAGACAAATGTATTTAAATAAAAAAAGAAAATTCGAAATTATTTATACTTTCAATCGACAAGCTGTTAGTCCTTAAGAGAGGTTTTACTTCCCATTCACGTTCTTTTCGTACCGAAAAATAACTGAATACTTATATTTGCATTAGCGCCTATTTAAGCATGCTAGATCTTCCATTTCCGACGTTTAGTGAAGGCGACCATACTTTAATAGTTCAACCATCTTGACAGCTTTCTCGATACGATCTCGATCTCCTTTAAAAACCGTCCATTTTTTATCAACCAACAGTGGCCATTGTAATAAACCATAATATATAGTGATCAAATGAATCGGCGGCTCCTATCTGGTGATTTCTCGATGTGATCGCATTAAAACCACGTAAAGTTATTGCGGTCGCCTTTTAACTCTGAAAACTAATGCAATTTCCCAGAGCGAAATGTGGAAAGCAGAGAAAGAAAAACAACAAATCTACATTCGTAGGCAAGTGTTGTAAATGCGAATGTGTGTATATGTACTTTTTATATATCCACAAATTCAAACCAAGCTTTGGTCTCTTGACAAGTTCTTCTTTCAGGTTGAAACATCTTTGCAACGTTAACTGCTAATCAGTTACTGTTTGAGTGCGATCGTTGTTGCAAGTGCTAACGGGAACCAAGCATCGGGAGAAAAACTTATTTCATAAAATACCGTGTGTCCATGTATGCATGTGTCTATTTGTAGAAAATCTCTTAACAAAATTTCTCTCTGTTTTAAGTTTTTTAAGCATTTAACGCTTACATTTTTGTTTAACACTTTGCAAGCATTTTGCCACAAAAAAAGTTATCATTAAAAATGTAATAAAGTTCAAGTGACCGGTCAGCTTATACTGTGTGTTTTATGTGCTTTACACACACTTAGGTGTGTACTGATTTGCCGAAATTCAAGTGCTACTGGGTCAAGTTTATTAACCCACTTTATTCTTAGAAGGATTGCCAATCAAGCGCAACGACCTTAACCATCATAACAGCTTGGGATTACGCTTGGTGTTCCAAAAAGGAAGGACTTAAATAGTAAAATCTGAAAAAAAAGAAAATCGAGAAAAAAACCACAAATTTAACAAATTGCAAAGGAAAACAATGAATTTTCACTCGAAACCACAGGATATTAATTTTGGGAAATTTTTTTTCGTTTTATTCGCTACAACGACAATCGTACTCAAGATTACTGAAGGCAAGTTGTAATCGATGGTTTGGTTTATGTTTAATTAAATAATGTTTGTTGGTGGGCTCGGTTGATTGCCTCATCTCATCTCGGACATCACAACATCTATGCAGACGCGCGTACAGCGTATCTATCTTTATAAAATTGAAAATGATTTTCTTTGAATTCTGCAGTTAACACATCATGCATTTGTAACGTGTGGCCTTTTGCATTAGCAGGCATTCCGATATCGATAAACACGTTTGTCGCTTAAATCGTTTGTATCAAATGATCCGTTAAATAACCTCGTTTTCGTGACGTTTTACGCATGCGTACGCCTCTTGCTGGCAGTCGTACACTAATACTTTCACAAGGAGATGTTGCATTCGTTGCCTCATGTTTGTTGTTTTTATTCGATTACACTGCACTTGTTTTATTTTATATTTCTTTTTATATTTTTCTTCAATTAATTGTAATTAAAACACTAAACTTGCGTTCATATGAACGTTGCCTATGTATTGGAACGCACGGCATGTCGAACATGTTGAAATGCATGGCAATAGGATAATAAAATGTTTGATTTATGCTTTTTTCTCAACAATTTCAACTTAATTTAGAGACGAATTTTTTCACATTTATTTTTTTCCAAGCATTGATTAAGATTGAATGAATACGTAAGCAAGGACGAACGTAGGAGCTTCTCAATTGGGAGCAAAGAGTTGAACGCGGCGCTGATTTACTTACACTAAACTTCTGGCATGGGCGAAATGTTCTGCAAGCCTCATTACCATATCAAGTCAGAGCAGCGTATGTTCCTTTACTTTTATAGGTGAAGTCGAAATTTTCCTTATCCTCGCAATAAACGATATCGTTTATTGATCTTATTGCTTTGTATGAGCAATGAACAAAACCAATTTAGTTACACTGGTTCATAACGAAAATCTGTTCGCGATAAACTTTACTGCTTGTTCTTCACTTGTTCAGTTAGTTTTTTTGTTTGCACAAATAGTAGGTATCAACAATTCGTTTTAAACCATTTAAACTTCTTAACTTGTTTATATCTTGAAAAATATTTAAATTTATCAAGAGTCACTTCAACTTTGATGCAGAATCACTACGGCATCATGATGCTGCAGCACCTTAGACTTGCCAATCTTAACGAATATTTTATATCCTTATTAAGCTTACATGTATTTCGTCCGGCGTTTACGTTGCACAATTATCTGCGATTATATAATCTATAATTTATAAATTTTTTATCATATACCTGTTAAGATTTCTATTGGTTAGCAAGCGAAACAAGCAAAAACGAAAGTAAATCTCGCTGTAAATCGCGATCATTAAAAACCATTCAAACCATAAAATATGAAAATATTACAAACGCTAGTTATTGCAAAACTGTTATAGCATTAATGTCTGCCAGTGGATCGCTTTAATGGCACTGAATGCTAGAGGCACCGTTTTCTTAGGTACGTTATTATTATCAATTTTTCAATTCATCAATAAGTCGATATTTTTGACACGTTTTCCTTTTACAATTTTAGAATTCGTTTATTTCAGTCTCTAATTAACATTAGCAATAGCGTTAAATTAAAAACGAAATATTAATTTATGCAATCAGTGAAAGCTTATCTTTTAATATGATTTGGACAAATACCAATAATTACGTACAAATGAAAAAATAGTATACTACCTAATATTAGATACGGTATTTCCCTCATGATAAATTTGATCGTAAGGACAGGTCAGAAAATTCAATTTTTCATCATACGTTTCCTTTCTTGATCCTGCACTAAAGGTTAAGAAATTAACTAAAGCGTTCAAAAATTTTCACTTACATTGTGTTTTTAAACCGCGCGACCATATTGGCTCAAGTCCGTAATAGAAAAGCTGAAGCAATGTTCTAAAGAACTAAAAAAGATGTATACGTCTATGCTTGAAAGTCTCATCTTTAAAAATTTCGAAACAAAATGATGAAAAAATTATTTGCAAGACTGGTTACAGTAAGTGAATAAAGAAAGGTCGTTTGAATTTTAATAACATATTAATGTTATTAACTGGATATTGATTAAAATATGAAGAGCAGAGCGACATATGTTTTTTATTTAAAAAATGTATTGTATGCATTATATTTTTGATTTTCCATCTTTTATATATAATTTTAAAGAATAAGCTGGCACACTTAATCATAGTGTTGCTTAAAGAAAAAACAGCAACACAAAACAAAAATAAGTACGGAAAACGTCAACAACTATTTGTAAGCTAAAAAAGGTGCCGAGATAGGATAGCGAAGACCTAGAACAAGAGCAATGGTTGAGATTGAATATGAAAAGAACTTAATAATGGCCGCAAGTTGGGCAATCCTATCGTGGTCAAATTTTGCATAAAATGTTTACGGATGTCCTGTAAAAATGTAAAAGCCTCTTGTTGATTGAGTACAGTTCGTAGAGAATTCAACAATATTTTTTATTCATTTGTGAATGTAGATAAAACATAGATATGGTTAAATATGTGATTTCAATTGTTAAAAGATTTCATCAAACCAAAAGCAAAAAGCACCATATGTATATCACCTCTGTCCCTTCTATTTTATACCCTTCTCTGTACAAGCGTAGCTTGACTGGGTGGCGTAAGCAGAAAGAAAAAAATTAAATAAATAAAAACCGAAATATATTCATATTCAGTAGCTGCACTCAGACTTGGAGACGAAACTCTTTTTACTTAGTTATGAACACAAGCAAACAATAAGACCTAAACAATATTTTACTAACAAAATTCTCTACGATCGTGTGAAAATATTGCGATACAATCACATTGGCGGTATGCGTTAAAAAATAACCCAAAAGCAAAAAAAGGTTATTTTCTACTTCTTGTTAAATATTATATGCTGAATCTAAGTTTTCAGTCAGAAAGGCAACCACAACCAACAGACGAACAACAAAAGAAAATCGAGGAAAAAGCAAACTTTCTTTGTCAACAGAAGTAAAAAAAACGTTCAGCCCCCCTCTCGCTGCCAAATGCAAGTAGATTCATTTTAGATACTTTTCAGCAATCGTGAGATACGTGTGTCAGTGCAGATTATAGAAATGAGTGAATATTGTATTTTTTTTTCTTTTTTTATGTTTTGCTTTTTTTAACATTTTTACGAAATATTGTTGTTAAATATGTACAGACAGATGAATTGTATTCCGACACTGCGCATCAGATGCATAGTGGCACATATGCCTCAGCAAACGCAAACAAATCTCATTTGATATGTGTATTATTCCCACCCTCATGACATAATTAAGTAGAGTTTATTTTTTATTTAGCAGTCGTTTCGCACTGCTCTGCATTTGTAGGTAAATTTAAATCAAACTGAAACAAAAAAGTAAAAAAATTTTACTTGAAATGAAGTCAGTAATTTTTGTCGTTGATGTTTATTATTATCACAGCCTTTTACGTGGTCTTCCTCCAGGCATAAAAGAAGAAAAAAACGAACACGCAACTGGTCAGAATGCCTTTCTTTGTCTCTGGCGACTTGGTTTCCGTACAACTAGTTTGGTTTAGTTTTTTATACCCATCTCTAAGGCTATATGAACTTTATTAAATGCTTGTAATTCATAAAGTTGTGGACCGAAAAGTGCACACATACACATATATGCTCGCAAAGATTAATTAATTCTGTATAACAAAATCGACTCGCCTGCCTGTCATCCTTTCAGTCAGCATGATTGCAATTTGTCAGGCGTCTGCTTAATTCAAAACACTTGCTTTTTCTCAATTCTTTTTCTCTATTCTCTTTTAGGGTGAATTTGAAAATGAGCGAAATCGCGCGAAATATCTAAATGTGATATCTAATTGAGACGACATGTCAGCTATGGGTGTTAGTGAATTCGGCCTTAGCCGAGTATAGATTCTTTTATTGTGTTGCCTTGAGTGTGCTCACGCAGCTTTTGTGAAAAGACAGCACGTTTTGTCTTTGTTTTGGCAGAATTGTAAATTTTTTATTTTTGTTGCCTCACATATAATTAGGGTTAAAAAGGAGAAATTCCGCACAAGTATTTGTGTTAACAATTTAAATAACACGTTTAATGAAATATATATAAATCATAAGATTTGCACTTGATGAAATTTGAATAATTTTTTAACACGGTATGCTTTATAAAAATTATAGTTTTAAGACAAAGTTCCAATTTTCCTAATTAAGAAGGATACTACACCATATTTTTGTTATGCCGTATCTCCCCTCTTTTAAGGAAACTGAAAAAGGAAAAAAGAAGAACAATAATTCGACTAGTGGGAAGCATTATATACTCACTTCTTTAAACATTTAATCAATAAGATGTTTGTGAAAATTTTCACTTTGAAGCTTCAACCGATTTTAATAATTATAGCAACAACACTTTAGCATTGAAAGAATCTTGGCTAAATAAAACTTTTTTATTGGCGATGTTTTTCGTTTAAGTAGAAAATGATAATTTGTAATCAATGCCACCAATAAAAATTTTTTCCCTTCGCCGGTTTTTTTTCAAAACTTCAGGCTAAAGAAAAAAGCTTGAGACAATGAAATTTAAAATGATTTAATGGAACTCAAACTATAATAGGTTTAAATATCAACCATTCCAGGTCATCAAGGCTGCGTTTTTCATGATGGCGTGTCCGCAGAAAGTGAAGGCGTACGTTTTATACGATTACGAGAGGACGCACCGATCGGTAGAGAAATATTAGCTCTTAAAGCTTTTCCTAGATCAAAAGTTTCATTACTTAGCACCGAAAATAACGGAGATCACAAATACTTTGCCATTAGTGAAATAAATAATACGACAATTGTGATCTCACTGATACGATCAATAGAGGATTTAGTGGATCGTGATGTACCAAAAAATTTATTAAAATTTCGCATCGTATGCACGGCGAGAAATGAGAAACTGGAAGAGGTATGTGATTAAAAAGAAAAATAATAAAAGAAATTTTCTTATGATCGCATTTCTTTTTTTTTAATAGGGAAGCTACCTTTCCGTAACGGTTTACATCGAAGATGTTAACGATAATAAACCTGAGTTTCTTAACGTGCCCTACATTGTCGACATTGAAGAGAACACCATGTCGGGCACAATAATTTTCGAGGGTATACAGGCTTTCGATCGTGATAAACCTAATACACCGAATTCAGAAGTTCACTTTAGTATGTCTACAGTACCCGAGCAACTATCAGCTGATGGCAGTCCATATTTTTCGTTAAAAAGTCCACACAAACCTTTGCTTATTTTAAAGAAAGAACTTGATTTTGATAATGGAATACGTTTATTTAAATTGCCATTGTTTGCCTGGGATCGTGGCACTCCCGCAAATCAAGTAAACACTACGATTACGATAAACGTAAAAGATGTTGACGATTTACCACCAAAATTCACAGAAGGTGTTTATCGGACAAGAATCAATGAATTTTATCCAATAACGGTAAAGCTTTCCTGGCATAATTCTTAGCAAAGGCTTATATTGCTTGTAATTTTATCTATGTCTATAGGGGATGCCAATACGTATACCTTTATATTTTAATCCTCCGATCATGGCTTTCGATCAAGACTCTTTGAATGCCTCGTTGATTTATGATATAATATCGGGCAATGAGAGAAAATTGTTTCGCGTTAATCCGCACAACGGCATCATGTATTTGCAAAAGGAAATCGATTTGGAAGAGGAAAGCTTGCCAGGCAATACTTTTGTCCTGCAAATTGAAGCCCGTCAAAAGGATAATCCCTTAAGAAAGGCTTTGGCTAGGTGGGTATATTAAATCATTTGTTATAAATTAAATCGTCATTTCATATACGTCATTTTCATGCAGGATTGAAGTTGAAATTTTGGATCTTAATGACAACATACCTGAGTTCGAAGCCGATTTTTATAATATTTCCATCGTAGAAAACCTTCCTACCAGTTTTAGCGTACTACAAGTTAATGCCCTTGACCGAGATCAAGGTGAAAATGCAGAGTTCTTATACAATCTGAAAGAAGAACCTGAAGCAGTTGGAGCTTTTCGTATAGATTCGCGTACCGGTTGGATAACGGTAAAAGATGATCGTTTGCTGGACCGTGAAAAACGTAAAGCGGTACATTTAGAAGTAGAAGCATTGGAGCGCACGCCCTCTTACATGGATGAAAAAAATTTAAAAAAAGCAAGCCCTAATTCGGTTAAAGTCGAGATAACTCTACTCGATACCAATGACAATACACCGAAATTTGAAAATGGCAACCTATACGAATTCAAAGTAGCAATTACAGCGCCAATAGGCTTTCGAGTTGGTCAAGTTAAGGCCGGCGACCCGGATGAGGGACCTAATGGGTTATTGACGTATGAGTTACAAAGACCTAGGAAGCACGGTTATATACCGTTTAGATTAGATAATAGAGACGGCACCATATATGTAGCAGGACCCCTCAGAAGAGGACGTATAGCAGTGTTTGTAGAAGCCAGTGACCAGGTTAATAATTTCTAACTGTAGAATCCACCCATTTGTGTAATTATTACTACTGTATGTTATATGTTTCAGCCCGTAAATCCTTCAGAACGCAGGTTTTCCTTAGCTGTTATAACTATTGAAGTTTATGCTACAATTGACGATCAAGCTATAGATTTCGTTGGAGCACCTTACGAATTTTGGATTGGTTCGAGTGCCCCACTTGGTACCTCAGTAGGACAAGTTCGTACAACGTTAATCTACGACAATGATGACGAAATTATGTACGATCTGTTGCACACTTACTCTGAAGGCGTACCCTTCGCCATTGAAGAGCGTTCTGGTATTATTACGGTTATTCGTGAATTAACCGAATTTCAAAGGACAATTTATTACTTTGAAGCCGTAGCTAACTATGTAAGCTTGCCTTTGACGATTTCTCTTCTACTTAGATACTCATTTAACTTTGTCTTAATCGCTTTTACAGCTTTTTGCAAATGCTTCCAAAACTTTAAAACTATCCCGCAGCTCTTCACCATTAACCGCGATGCCAATAGCTGATTTGAGCGATGAAGGAGTTTTAATAACGAACGTTACTATACATGTAATAGCGAAAGCAGAAAGCAAAGTTTCTCGAAAACCTGTAATAGAGTAAGGCTTTCATGGGAGCATGAGATAAAAAAAAATTCTATTAATTTATTCGATTGCAGGGAGATAAATATGAACATTATAAAGTTCCATATTGAGGAAAATGTCGCAGGCGGTATAATTGGTCAATTGCTTTATAAAAACGGTGTTAATGTGGGCAACAATGATTTGGACACTTATCGTAGTCTTTCAGTGATTTCCAATGCTACCTTAGGTTCGAAAATGCGAGCCCGCAATCAGAGGACAAATCTAAGAAAAAGGACACCTCGTCGTTTGGCTGGCGAAGCTAATATGAAACTACGTTACATTATAGCCAACCAACAAGAAGTGGTCAATAAAATCACCATAACAGAAGACGGTACTTTACTCACTTTGTCCGCATTAGATCGCGAGCAAAAGGATAAATATGACCTCACGATAATTGTGGAATACACCAGCGGTTTAGTCAGCGGTGCTGGAATTTATCAAGTGGAGATTACGGTAGACGATGTTAATGATAATGCTCCGGAATTCAATGACAAAAGCTTCGTGGGCTTGATTAAAGAGAATACTGAGAAGGGAATTCAAGTAGCTCTAAATAAACCAATACTCATCACCGATGTCGATTCGGGACGAAATTCGGAATTTAAGGTCACCATCCACGGCGATTATAACGAGTTATTTAAAGTGGAATTTGTGGAACAAGAAAATGCGACAGTACTAAATTCCTTACCTCTAAGGGCGGATTTATTTACTGTTCACAATTTTACCGATCAATGGACTGATGACTTAAAATTTATGGAATTCCAGTCCGAATTAAAACCAATCAATTTGAAAATGAATAATCAGCCATTTTATAAAATTACGTATACCGGCTTGAGACCTTTGGACCGCGAAAAGGATCAAGTTTATAATTTGAAATTAGTGGCCATAGATACAGGCGGCCTCAATACACAAGCCGTTATAAACATCCTGATAAGTGACGTTAACGATAACGCTCCGATATTTGAGCGTATATCAGTATTTAGAGATTCACGTATAGAAATTCGACAATACACAACCGACATGGAAATTGATTTTGTTGAAAGTTCTTCTCATCTTATGCCAGTCTTAAGTCCTGCATCGCAAGCTGTGATAGTGGCTCCATATCAGATTCCTGGCTCTCCCAGGCTAAACGATGAGACTTCGTTTAATTCTACTTATCAAATGAAAGCTAGGGCACGTGCTCATGGCCTTGCGAAATCACGCAGCGTTAGAGCTATGCATCCCTTAGGAATAATTAAATGTCCGTTATTCGCTATTTACGAAAACACACCGTTGAACACCAAATTGTTGCAGATGACGGCCTCTGATGAAGACTATGGTCGTAATGCTCAAATACACTACGAAATTATTGATGAGCAGGTAGAAAGGCCAGCCGGGGGACCAATTATTCCTAAACTGACTGGTGTTAGGCATTTCGTAATCGATAAGCTGTCCGGTGTAGTTACAGTCAATTACCCACTTTCAGCAAATATTGAAGTGTGGCTGAACGTAACAGCCTCTGACATTGACAATCTGAGGGATATCACTTGCTTGCGCTTTAGTGTAATTGATGTAAATAATCATGCTCCTGCTTTCAAGAAATCATGGTACAGTTTTGATATTGAAGAAGGCGATTACAAAGAAAGCGTTTTAGGGCAAGTACTGGCTGTTGACTTAGATTATGGTGAGAATGCTAATGTTTCCTATTCGCTAGTTGAGGATGAGCTACCCTTTAAAATCAAGACGCTCTCAGGTGTTATAAAAATCGTCGGGAATTTGGATCGCGAAATTAAAGATAAATACAATTTTCAGATTAGAGCAATCGATAATGCCGAACCCTTTTATCAAATGTCTGCCTCAGTGGATGTTGAAGTTAACGTGCTCGATATTAATGATAACAAACCAGAATTTATTGGGTACGATGACCTTGTCAAAGCTGACGTTTATTTGAATGAAGTGACCGATCGTACCAGACGAATTCCCTTGTTTAAAGCATTTTTAGATCGTAGTGCTAAGCCTGGCATGTTTGTCAAGCAGTTAATTGCCATAGACAAGGATTACGTAGGAAATGGCAATGGCTTGGTTTTATATTCTATTTTACATAACAATCCTTCACCTGTTTTCACCATCGATAGTCGTGAAGGCGTTATTACAACTATATCCAGTTTTCTTAATTATAATATGTACGAACACCTCAATATCACAGTGATAGCCGCCGATTTAGGAAGCCCTTCTCTGTCCTCCACAGCTGTCGTTCTTGTTAACCTCCAAGGTCAAATTAAGGCAGAAACGACACAAAAGCCAGAAGAAGTTGTAGATTGGCAAAATTTAACTTTATTTCAACATCAATACTACGAAATACAAATACAGGAAAATAATGAAGCTCCCACCGAGTTAATGAAATTCAATTTCTCTTTAAACTTCCATACGGAATCTTTGCGATGGTTTTTATGGGTGGAAGAAGGTGTTGACTTCGAGCAAGACGCCCATCCACCATTTGAATTTGATGCGAAACTTACTACCTTGTATGCATTAAAGTCCTTTGATTATGAACTTACTCCCCGTTATAAGTTACGTTTGAGAGGCGAAAGGTCGAATCGCGAAGCTCGCACCTACACTCGTCTCCAGTATCCCGTGACCGACGAACGTTTGGATGGTTTACAAAGTAATGAATGTCGCATTGTAGTAAAAATTTTGGACGAGAACGACAATCCTCCAATATTCAAAGGTAATGGTCAACCGATAATAGCAGTGGTCCCACGTAGTGCTACGTTTGGATACCCAATAACGAAAGTTGAAGCTACAGATGCCGATGCAGGAGTGAACGCCGAAATTCGCTTTAGATTATTGAACGAACCATCGCGTTTATTCGCAATAGACGAATTTACTGGCAAAATACGTTTGATTTCGAATATTGAACCGTCTGATACGCGAATATATGGTTTCGATGTTAAAGCTACGGATCGTGCTGGAGCAGATGATGGTCGTAGTAGTATTGTTAACGTATTTGTTTATATAATTGATGAAAGAAAGCAAGTACGTCTGGTATTGGCGGGCAAACCGATAGAAGTGGAACGTAAAATTGATGCTTTAGTTGAATCATTAAGCGATGCGATAAACATGGAAGTGCGTGTTCGTTTATTGGAGCCTCATATTGGTGGCTTAGAACCAGCGTAAGTATTGACTTTGACAATATATCATTTCTGTTTCTTCACATTAAAGAGACAATTGACCTTTTTAGTGTTGTCAGGAAGTATTCCAGGCTTTTTGAGCTGTCGCTTAATTAAGCACAATAAATTTAATTTGACTTTTAGAATTCAAATTGCCAAGAAAATCAGAAATAGTGGAAACAGTACAACTTATACGACAGCAATCGCTTATTTGCTCATTAGATAAGAATCTGTTAGCTTTTGTTTGGGAAAGATTGTTTTTCCTTTTTCTTAAGTGACTTCTGAAATTCCATGACAAATTAATTCTGGGAACATGGATCATCCTTCCAAAAATAGTTATTTACAAGTCAACACGACTACATTTGGCGACGAAACCATTTTCAAAGTTAAAAGTTTTTAAAAGAATAAAAAAGAATGTTATATGTTATCCTAAACTTTTGTTTCTCAGAACGGACGCATATATTTATGCTGTTGATTATCGTACAAATTCCGTGGTGGATATGGAGAGATTGCAACAGTAAGTTTGAATCGAAAACCAATAGCAAAATTATATTATAAACTAATTATCTTCGATATAAAATGTGATTTAGGTCGTTGGCTGGTCTGCAATTTGACGCTCTGCAATTGAAGCAGCAACAAATCTTACAGCAAAAATATCCCAATGGTAAGTGGGATATGAGCAAAATGATGCCGCGTATAATCGAATTATCACCTTTCGGCCAGATACCGCTTAAATCAGCACATAGCGCGACATTTTGGAGTAGCTTGGAGATAATAACCATAATAATGTTGGCTTTTTGTAGTGTTGGAGCGGTATTGATAGGTCTGTGCTTTCTATGCCTTAAACAGAAACGGTAATTTTTTCCAGTTCTTTTCACTTTTCTAATACAAACGGAACAATGTCGAAAAAATATTTCCCACATTTAAGTCATCTATGGAGACTGATTTTTTTTTTTTTTATTTATAATAAACGAAATCCTAAGAAGAACCTAAACAACGAACATAGTAATATTGGTTTTTAATTAAGATCTGGAAAAACGCTTGACATCAATAAAACGCAACATTAGAAGAAGAAGCACATGTTGTTTTTATTTTCATATAATTCCATGATTGACTGTTTTTCATCAAATATTACTTATTATTGTCTGCACTAATTAAAAAAATAACGGTACTTTTTGTGCAGACAAAAACATGTTTAACCTATTTCTATAATAAGGTCTCCATCGATAGTAAAACACATGACTTAAATGTCTGAAAGTATGCCAACAATTTCAATCATTTATTGCATTTTATGTGTAAACACAAATATATATAAACATAAATATATATGTGTATGCATTTGTGTTTACTTTTGTATTTTTTTACTCTTTTTAATTAACGTCCAACTTGTTTTAAACTCTCTTTTCTACGTTCATCCAATGAACAATCTCGCCTTCTTAACACGCGAATGCAACATTTATCTACCTTTTTATTATTACGACTGATCTATTTCTAATGTTTGTCTAACTATATCTTATATATTTTACATTTATTTACGTTTGCGTTTGTTGAGCAGAGGTTTATGGACTCAACCGGAGTTTCCTTCTTCGGAAACAGGTCTGACATACGCCATAGCCCGAGCTGGTTTAGATACATGTCGTCGCAGGCGACGACATCAACGACAGATACAACAACAACAGCAACAGCAACAAAAACAGCCTATTAAACACCAACTGCCAGTACAGCGCCATAGCCAGCGTTAGTATTGCATTCTTTCCTACTTTCTAATCCTTATATATGATTATATAATTTATGATTACATTTCTCTTCCTTTCTCTTCTCTCTAGAATCTCTATCTTCGGGGAAAACCCAATCAACTGCACTAGCAACACAAAAATTAGATCCAGACTGGTCACAAACACAAAAACATCTGCAACAACAGCAAACGCAAAACCTTTTACATTCACATCATCATCATCATCATCATCAGCAGCAGCAGCAACAGCAGCAGCCACAATCACTACAGCAACAGCAGCCACAACAGCAGCAACTACAACACACCCAACAATTGTATATGCCACAAGTACAACATCAGCATCAACACCATTACCAACATTTAAATAATGAGTAAGTAGCAGCATTTTTATAAACTTATATATATATATATATATATATAGTTCTTAATTCAATTCGATTTATGATTGTGAGAAAGGAAAAACCAAAAACAAATATTTTTAAAGAGTGGCAATAACTAAAGCTACATGGGTGCTCTTGGTAGTGATTGTAGTTAAACGAGTTTCCCTCAATTATTTGTGGGTTGTAATTATTATTTTGCATGTTACACTTAAGTTATGGCATTGTTTAGTTATTGCGGTATTCAGTGAATATTAATGTATGACATATTTACTATTTTATTTTAGCTTTCACGCATATGAGAAGTTGTAAATCTAATGACAATTCCGCTATTGCTTATAAAACTCTTTTCTGTTCTGTAAAGAAATTTCAAAGTTACCTTTGATACCGATTTGAGATAAAATGTAACATTTTTCTATAACAAAGTTTTGGCACTGTCATATGACCAAAAAAAATTTATATAAAAACTTCCTCTTTTACGAGCCTATTGGAATTACGTTCGAGAATTGAATTAGAGAGAAAGGATTTCAATCTATAAAACTTGGGAAAAGGCAAATAAAAAGTCGGAAAAGGCATACCGAATGGACATACGCCTTCTTGTATCTTCTTCTCCACTTCTATCTAATGCTCGTTGCGTCAAGTTAATAGGCGGATTCGGTTTTTCGACTTATGTTCTTGAATGCGGGAGAGTTTAAGCTAGCTTTTAGATTGCGTCTACTAAATATTCACTACAAATGGACCTTTTTTCTGTGACTCACCTTAAATACTATACCATACAAACGATCACATTTAAAAATTGTTAATAATAAACGGTTTTTTCGTAGATACACAGCCGGTTCAAGATTTCTAACAAACTAAGCGTATGGTCAGGTCAACACATACTTTCTATATAAAAGCACATAAGTTATGCGGTAAAGTGTTCTTGATTGTACACGAAGTATTTACTCCCAGAAACGGTATTCCGTACTTTCACTAAATTATATATAATGGTGCTTGTAGAATTAAAAAATGGTATGCTGAATTTTGATTAACCTTGAGCTTGATTGTTATTGCTTGCTTTTAAAATTCAAAATCGTTAAATTGATGCTTAAATGGTGAATGGTAGGATTAAACCTTAAATGATTGTTAGTACATTAAAAACAAAAAAAAAACAAAAAATTTAGTCAGAGACCCAGAGAATACATAGACGTTCCTTTGCCGAAATCTGTAACTGCGTTACGTAATGCTACCGCTTTGGATCAAGATGGTAAAACTTCGCCATTTGTGTTGAAATATAATGCTTGTCAACCCATAAATAATCTGTGAGTGGAAAAATCATGCCTAAATATACATGTAAATCATTTAATGATAACCTTAAGCAGATCTCACCATAACTACGAGACTTCGTTATTTTCTATACATTCAAACGGTCAAGATTCAGGTGTAGATTTTCTGAGTAGTCGCGATTTATATGAAACTTCTCCTGATTCCTATGATTCGCAACATCGCAAAGCGGCTCATAAGCCCTTATGTCCCAGACATGCTAAAGATCACCTGGAATTGAGACAACATAACACCGACTCGAGGTAGGATAAAGGTGCGCAGCATTTAAAATTTAAAGAGACTATTAATTATAGCTTTAATTCAAGTGACAACTATGAAGATTCTTTACAAAATGATGATCCTCTTGTGATTAACAATTGCCGTTCGTTGTGCGATCACCGTTTACAGCAGCGACCGCAGACGGATTTATATGTGAATTCTCAATTCGAAAAACGTTCCTGCGTGCGACATTCGTTCTCAGGTGTTAAAGACGATTTAGTGCAAAGCTCTCCACGCATTTCTTTACGTTCACGTGGTCACATTTTACGAAATTCCATGAACGACTTACAAGAACGTCTACATAATTTGGAACAATCGTTTCGCAAGCCAGTCGTTTTTAAATGAAATATTTAATAGTTACTCTTATAATTTTTATAGTTTGCGAATAATGAGTGCGGTATATACATAGAACAAGTGCAATATTTTGTCCTTACTTTTACGAAACCCTATGTAGCTAATAGGTTGTTTGAAATATTTTTTATTTTAAAAATGTAGTTTTACTGTACCTGTTAAAATATTAAATAAAAATGTTGAAGACTACTTTTCGACATGTGATGTGTGTGTATAAAAAATTTTATGAATGCAATGCGATTGCTGGTGAACACTCGTTGCAGAGTACTGTACTCCTGAAGCGAAACGCAAAATGTTGAGCATAAGACAAAGTTCTCAAAATTTATGAGATTTTCATTAGCAGCTGTTCAGGCTTTTGCGCATTATAGTTAATTACCTTTCACAATTTACTGTACATTGTACGGTGCAGGAAGTCCATGTAATAATGCGCTACTTACGTCATTTTGCCAATATTTCCGTTTGACCACTTTATCTAATCTATTTCAAGAACATATTTTTCTCTAATACGCACTAGAAGTTGCCTAAATCGGATGGGAAAATACCAAATATCTCCTTAGAAATTCAGAAAGAAATGAGCGATGTCTTGTTTGCGTTACAATTTTTTGTTTTTTTTTTGGTTTCTTTTCTCAAAGCCCAGAGTGCGCTTTAAAGACTTTTAAAAGCGCAAGCAAATTTTATGCGATACTTGAGATCTGGTCACGTATAAGACAAAAAAAAAAGAAATTTTGAGTTGAATATCTACGGACCACATTCAAGTTCAAGTGCAAACCGAAACGTCTCAGATGCTTAATCAGAACTTGTACTTGTAATGTACAGGATAGCAATGAAAAAAGAGAACTAGATGTCATCGGTTTCTATACCCCTATCTGATTTTTATGCATCACTCTCAAACACGCTGCTTAAGTTTTTAGTATTTTTTATGGAATTTTTAATTCATTTTTAAACAATGCAATTTTCTCACATAAGAGTTTAATGTATATAAAAAAATAACTATAGCTAACAGAAATCTCCTCTTTACTGATGCCCGTTTAATTAATTAAAGAATTTTTTAAACTCCAAGCAGCCCTGCCAATTTTCGTCGAAACCGGGTGTAACTGTTTTAGCATTAGCATACCATTTTGCTACGTTGGGGTATTTGCTGAAATCGAAGCCAGCCACTTCAAAAGTGCTAACGGTAGCCAATAAGGCTATGTCGGCTACAGTTAACGTATCACCGGCCGCATATTGCTGGCCTTGCAAGAAACTATTTAGAAAGTCGAAGGCAGTTTCTATCTTTTTGTGCATTTCTGGATCGGCAGGAGCCTTACTAAAGATTTGTGGATAGTAATAGTCGGCAAAGCTCTTGTACAAGGTGCCCATGTCAAAGTATAGACGCTGATTGATAATAGCCCGTTTCTTGGGGCATTTAGGATAAAGGGAATCGGTTTTACCGTACTTTTCCACTAAATAGACCATAATAGCACGTGATTCCCATAGCGAGAAATCACCGTCAACTAAAGTCGGTATAGTATGTTGAGGGTTTAGTTTTAAAAACTCCGGCTTCATTTGTTCACCAGCCATCAAATTCAATAGTTTCTTATTCAGCTGTAAGCCCAAAGCTTTAGCTGTCATTATAACCGCACGGCAAGGCGCCGAACCGGGCAAATAGTACAAATCCATGGTTTTAAACTGCAAAATATTAAAACATGTAGTAATAACACAAAATAATTTTTTCAATTCAAATAAGCTAAGCAACAACAAAATAAACAGCGGATATTTTGCAATTAATTATAATGCCATAAAACGTACGAAGCTCTAACTATCGTTATTAAAAAGTCTAGAAAATTCTTGGTAACTGCTTGAACACTTTTTGCTAACGGAGAAATCAATTTTTTTGAGAAAACTTTATTAGTTTCTTTAATTGCAATCCGCTGCTTACTGTGATTTTCGCCCAAAAAAATGTTCTTTAATTAGAGAAAACGTTGCCATTTTTATTCATTATTTATTTTGACACTATTGCAGTTATGATGTCATTTTTATTAAATTTTCACGTACACACTCTTCTTTTTAGCAACTTTATTGTCTGTTGTGCGATGATCATTAAGCTCAAAAACACTTACTTGTCTGAAAACTCTTCTGCTTAGTTATGAACTTTACAAAACGCAACGAACGACTGACGTTGGAACAGAGAGTGCCGGTCTATTTAAACTGTCGTAGTATCCTCTTCCCCTGTACCTCGTTGCAATTATACCTACATGTGTATGCATTTTAGCTCAGACGAATGGTGGTAAAAATCTCATTCTGATTGACTTTTGCTTTCTACTACACATACGAGCTTAGCCGGCAAGAGTTTTATTTTCATATCTGAACTTTTTTTCAATGTTGGGTTATGAAATGTAAAGCAATATATAAGCAGGGACTTGCGTTGCCAGCAACCCTCCATTGAGGACGTAACGTAAAAACTATCTATTAATCCTGGAAATGAATTTTTCTTTACAAACATCTCTTAGTGCAAACGAAAACTGTAATCGTAATTCGGAGTCGTTTCGCAGAAGTGTGTGTGCATATATTCATCGAGACATAAACCAAGGTGATAATATTTGTTTTTAAATAAATTTTTCGCAAACAAAAAAAAAAATAATAATAAGAAGAAAAATTGAACCCGAAATGTGGATTTGGTAAGCAGATGGGCCAACTATCTGATAAAGAGACTTGACTTATAGGGCTTTTAGGTGCGCTATCAATAACCGTCGAATAAAAAAGGTATATATAAACTGAATCTTGCCATCTGTAAAAAGGAAGTTCATTTTAAATGATACAATGAACAGACCGCAAATATGTGCTTCCCAGTGTTTGTGAATTCCAATTGTGTATTTATCTGTTGTTTGCTTTCTCTCTCTTTGCAAACTTGTTCTGTGCATTTCAGTCTCTCCGATATAAACAAGTAAGGGTAGGATTCTTAGTCCATATCGAATTACGTAACGCCAACATTTGTGGTATTGTGGACAACCCGTGGAATCTCGTACATGTATAAAACTTATGTCAAATTTATAAGAAAGATTTAGAAGGAAAATTGAAATTGGAAAAATCAATTCGATCTATTTGCTGAAGACGCAAAAGTTATGTCTACAAAAGAAATGCTACCATTACTTTTTTGAGCAAGTTTGGCAGTAAGTAGATCTTGTAGGTGCTACGTAAACGTAGTTCAAAATACTTAGAAATAAATTTCACTCCATATGTTAAAGGAAACAATAAACCTAATACACTTTTCCATCTTAAAGTGCGCCAGAAAATATACAGAGAGAGCGTAAGAGAAGTGCTTGCACTCAATGTGCATGTGTCCGACTGGCTACATTCCATGTATATTTAAACTTTTTTACACCAAGCACAGTACATATGCTGTTTAAATATTTTTAATCTTAGTCTTAAATGTTGATATAAATATAAAAAATCTTGTTTATCGCGGTTCAAAGGAAAGAAAGAAATTAAAAATAAAAAATCTTTTATTTGATTTTAATTTAAAACTCATTTTCAATGTGAATATATCTCTTGCTTATTTTTCCCGATAAATAAATTCTTATTTTGGATCATATTTTCATGCCATTGTGCTTCATACATATATTGAAAACAATTATTTATCTTTTTTTCGTGCTGCATAGTAGTAATAATTGCAGTGGTATTTATCCAATGTCTATGTGCATAAAAGTCGGTCATTGACAATCGATAAAAATTTTACGAAAGATAGATAAAAAGAAACTTAAAAAAAGATTTAAAATCTTTGGATTCATTTTTATTAAGAAAAGAGCATAGCATAGTTTAACAATATCCATTATTTTAGAAGTTAGTTCATAAAAATTTTATATAAACCGTTTTAGAGAAACTTCTTTTACACTTAAACAGTTAGTACGAATGGCGACAGTGGCTTAATTATCCAAATCGTATCGCCGTAGGATGAAAGAAAATGGATATTATTGCGAACCGCGAAAAGTTGTCTAGTAAAATTCGGGCTTTGACGTGTTTAAATCAAATGATAAGACACGCAGTCATATTTACATATTTCACATAAATGGGTGTGAGACAATTACAAAGGTTATAATTTTATCAAAAATCCACGGGCTATTTTTTTTTTTTTGCAAAATAATTGTTATCGTTAACTTTTATCGTACCGTGTATTTACAGTTTATAGATATAAACGTCAATTAGCAACGAGTTATGGACCATCTAACACCTTACTTTAGTGTGAGATAAACCTTGCTCGGTTAGTGCAGTTAATTACGGAACTACACACACCTCAGAGGTCCAAAGAAAACAAAACTTCCCTTTTCAATCGGTTTGATGAAGGCAATCGACGTTCACAGTATTCAGAGGTTTGTTTTGAAGAAAAACTATTTTAGAATTCTTCTTGTCCCAAGAGCCATACTTCGTTTAACATTACATTCTCAATTATATTCCATTAAATTTATAAATCAAAAATATTTCCACGCTGTTGAGTTACTATATGTTATTGAGAATCAAACAGTCATAGCGTAATTTGTTGTAAATAACTTCACTTAGTCACAACATTCCTACTCACAGCTTACTACGCGGACATATAATATAAATAGAAATTTATAGGTCACATAACGGCCGAACAATAACATTACTTTTACGAGACCAACCCAATTTTCATGAAATGAAACAATTACTTTCTTGTTTATAGCCCTCAATTTATAGTTTTGTGCAAATGATTAACTTAGTTTTCATAGACTTACAAATATATATGGATTGCTCGCTCACGCACACTTATCTAAATCTCAAACAATAACAGGCACTCATCGTTACAATGATTAAGGAAAATTTCCCCGACTCTAAATGAAAAAATGACGAAACTCTTGTACTCATACACTCATCTACAAAAAATATGTATATGAATAACTCTTTATATCGATTGATACATTTATGTGTAGGATCTACAAAGCTAAAAAGCTTGCTTTGAACCGAATTTCAGAAAGTCGTCATGTAAATGCAAAATACCTGTCGACTAAACTCAATTGAATGCTGTGTTTGAATACTCGGGAATAAGCGGACCACAAAGAACTTGAACTTGATTTATGGAGGTGAATAATGCGTGAGATATTTTACTAAAGAAATTTGTAGTTCCATGCATTGCGTCAATTAATATAGTTGAGTAAACATCTACCGATAAGACAAAAATGTCGATGTGGAAACAGGGCGTTTGGCCAATAGTTGACACACCCACGTTGATTTTAATGCAGGTTCTCCCACGATTTTATATCAAAATTTTTGTTGCTTACCGCTGTTGAATACCGGTGGACGGATGAAGAGGAGCCGATGCACATTAATAAGAAATGATAACTAAAATTAGTTATTTGTCCGTTATTCCAGAGATTGGAATCTTTGAGATTCATTAAAACAAGCAATGCTTCAGCTTGTGGTTCACTCCACATCGCTTTTTGAACCGATAACTCTCGTAATGTATTTTTGATCAGTTAATTTTGTTTCCATCTTTTGACAATTATTGGAATGCTCCGATTTCCAAATTTCCAGTGTTCTATCCTAATTTCCGTAAATACGAAGTATTCATCATCAAGCGGCACACGACCGAATGAATGCATACAGATAATCTATGCGATCCCCGGTGCATATTCTGCAAGTTCAAATGCAAACCGCGTAAATCTTGTAAGGAAAAGTTTCTTTGGGTGATTATTTTATTTTACTGACGAAAATTCGTTAATAATGTTGGCTTTTAGTTGTCACAAATATTACAAGAATGTCTAAACCACAGTCCTTTTGACTTTTGAATCTTTGCACACTTTCATAAATGAATATTCTTTAATTGTAGAGATTAGCGCTTCAACTGACCGTGTGTGTAAATAGCGAAAAAGTTGATAAAGTCCAATATATCAATTGTTCAACACGCCAAGAAGCAAAGAAAACAACAAAATAGCAGGTGCATAAATGTCTTCACATCTGTATATGTAAATTCGAGTATATATATACATAACATGTTACCTTTAGCTCTATATGTAAAATTAATGGAACCGTTCAACGGTTTGAAGTGTTTTCTTAAGGCGGGTGATCTTAGACTTGGCAGAAAAAATCTTACAAATTTAATTGAAGTCAAGTTTATACGAAGTCATCCTTTACAAATGGATTCGTATATGGATTTACTTTCGAAGAGGTAAAATTATTACCTTCGCTAGCCATTTCGGGAACTCAAAATAAGCAATAAAAATATAAACATACTTTTACGGCCAATCACTACATTTCGTCAGCTAAATCAATTTACTTGTGAGTAAATAAAAAGGGATAAATAATAAAAAAAAAAAAAAAAAAACAACGAATCTCAATTCGGAAATGTATCAGTTATGTCATGTTTACTATATATATCTATATTTTTATCAGTCATTGGAAAGGTGACTGTTCATCTACACTTCTATTTGATAGCAACAATATGAAGAGGAAGGTATTAATCACTTCTAAAAGAGACGCTAGTTACTGATCTATAAATCAGTACAGACGTTTCCGTGGACAATAAAGAAATTGAATGAAACGCAATGATCTCTATATAGAAACGCCCGCAGTTTGCAAAAAACTAAAGCTTTGATCATTTGATATCTATTTAGAAACTGATATAAATATTTATAAAAATCAACTAAGAGATCAATCTGAAATGGATCATAACCGAAAACAACATTATTAGTTGCTGAAGTACACTTACATAAATGAAAATGAAACGCAATAATATTTATTTCCATTCTTTAAAAGTCTCTTTCTTGCTCTTACTCTCTCTCTCCCCCCTCCAAATGTGGCTAGAAGAATAGAATAAATTATTCAAACTGTGATTTCTAACATTTATGTTCAGTACAGCCGTTAAATAAGCTAGAAATTCTGAAATGTGCAAACGCTTGTGATACTAATATTTGAACAATTACTTGCAATTCATCGTCAGTGCATTGTAGAATGTTTTTTTTTTCATGTTTTGCTGTTTATTATTAACTTTTGTAAGTAAGACGAAATGAAAAAACAACGAGAAATCACATTAGTGCGGTTAACGTGAATTTTATAATTAAATCGAAGAATACAATGGCTGCCTTTTTCAAATTTAAAAATTCGACCTCGATGTTGCATATCAATCAGTCGAAAAGATGTATTCCAATAAATATAATATATGACCTTTTTGACTTCATCGCGAAATCCTTGGCGAAATTTCTCGGGCGACTATATTATGACTGCTGCAAATTTGATAGTAACAACAGACCCGAGGTAATCTTACAAGCGGCTTCCTAATTCCAATATGAATTTTATTTTCAATTTCTTTCATCATCTCTTATGAGTAATCAAAGTTCGCCCTATTCGCTACATAACTTTAAAAGCGCCATTCGTAATCAGGTTTCGCCGGCAGTATTTGATCATTACATTGTAAAATCTTAAGTTCGTGAATACATTCATTCCATGAATTGGGCTCAAAAATAAAACAAATTTTCTGCGATTGTATTTCGAACCCATGGGTATATTTATCAAAAATTAACTTGCTTCATCAATGGTATAAAAAATGTGTTTAATAAAGACAGTACCTTATTTAATTTCGTCAGTCTTCTGTTGCAATTTGCTTTGACAAAGTTTGGTATTTGTCCATAGCATTACGTACAAAATTAGTGGCACGACTTAGCCTTTCCGGCGTCATTTCTTCCATCAGCATATGGCCTACATCGCCTACGCCTTTACCACTTACGTAGCTGATGGCGTTCGAAGTGCCGCTACATATAGGAGTGAGATGACAAATAGCGGCAACCGCAGCACCAGTAAGGAACGTACTCATAATAACGACTGCTACTGTCAATATGACGCGAAAGAGCCTTGAATCCATTAGATTAGTAAAGAAATTTGTCAAGGCGCTGGGCGTGCCGTCAAGAGTCCCGGCAGGCTTAACTGCATTTGTAGATGCGGAAAAGTCCTCATGATCTGGTGAAGCATTTGGCGCTGCATAAAAGGGCGCTAATGCACCAGCATAACCATTATAAGGATGAGGAACCAAATGAACACCGAGTTGATTCAAATATTCTTGAAATGTTTGAGGCACAAGGTAGCCAGCATATACGGGGGTATAAAGATGAGTTGATTTCTCTAAGAAGCGATCCTTAGACACCTGGAGAATATGTTTCATTTATTTCTTCACTTTTCTTTACTATTCAAAAAAATAAAACCTCTACTGCCGGTGTTGCTTCCTCTGCTTCTTCTGACAAAGCCGGGCTTCTATTTGGGCTAGGTGTTACATTACGTTCCGTAGTCTCTGTGTTAACGTTTTCCGCAAACTCAATTGTTGTTTCGACAGGCTTTGCTTCTACGCAGCACACGCAGTATATAACAAGGAATACCTTGCACACAATCTGAATAGAAATCATTGTTTATTTGAGATTTTGTGCAGCCTCCTAAGATCTGAACTCTTCCGTTTATAAAGGACGACTATTTTCACTTTTAATATATTCGTGCACGTAATCTTTCTCTGCAGTTAAATTTTACAGATAAATTATTGAGCGATTTGCGAAGTTATTATTTAGAAGATAAATTACTTTCCAGTAGGCAATAAACAGGTATTTCCGACATGCAAACATTCTTACATTGCCAGGCAAAGGAAATCCTTGTTGCTGCTATTGAAACAGAGCTATTTTAACGGCGTTTTCTCCCGAAGCCTGCTTTAAATATTCATACCTGGCTTAACTCAACTGCAAGAATTACTTAAGCACACACAATTGGCTTCTCTCTACACGTAGCAAAGGCAATGTGTGTGGAAATTGTAAGACAAAAGCAACCTTCACTATTACTTAGAAAATGTCGGAAAAACTGAAATAGTTACCTGGCTGTAAAAAATAAATTGGTTACGTGGAAAACAAGAGGGCATAATGATTCGCCGTTTTTAGTCCAGCTTATTCGTAAAGAAAGCCAGAGTACATAATTATTTAATGCTTTGGCCAACGTTTGCAAATTGCAAACCCGGAACTACTATACGATAATTTATATTATTATGATTATTATTTATTATTGTAATGTGTCTTGTCGAAATACCAGCACAGTTAGCTGCAGAACTTACTGCCCATTTGCAGGTAATTTGTCTCATTACTTTGGCTACAGTGACAAGAACGATGTTTATAAGGAATCTTCACTCTCGATATCCTTACTTTCCCAATATTTAGATAGAATTAGATAGGTGAGAATCGTTGTAAGTAGTTACGCGTGTGGTGATTTTCACCGCCTTTCCCTACCTTCTTGATTGTACGGAAAAGCACCATTATTCAGAATTATGGTAGAAAATCGAAAATGCGAATAGTTTTTAACATGTCAGTTGTCTGTTTCTTTGTTTTACAAATATCTGATTTTTCAAGCAGAGATCTGTGTAATCATTATTGATTATGGAAAAGCAAAGCACGCATTTGGGAATCCCTCCTACTTGTCTGCAAGATTTTATGCATATTCCTGTAGTTTCCGTTACCCAAAAGTCAAATCAATTTTTTGTTAGTCAGAAAGCCAAAACCCATTAAGCTTTGAATAGGAAGAGTATTTTATGACCATATACTCAAAACGTAGCTTCTGTCAGAATTGAGCGTAAAGTTAAAATAAAAAGGATAACGCCTATGTCTTGTTTGTCACAAAAAAATTCATTGTCACCAGGCAACTATGATAACCTGAAAAGTAAACAAAAATACATAACCATCGTTCAAGAGTACAAGCTTTAAAAAAAAAGAAGACGCCTATATTGCACGACATACACGTTGACAAGCACCAAACATACAAAGGAAAAAAGTGAAATGTTTACTATTTTATTACATTTTAAAACATTTATAAAGAAAATTCTTCGAGACCAGAAAGGACACGTCGTGCATAGGTAATCAAGCTGGGGAATTGCATAGAAACAGTACAAGTTGTGCAACACAAATTTGTTCATCAATTCAAAAAGTAAGTGTAGGCGAACTGGCCGCAACAACACGGTCGGTAAAAAATAAAAGAAAACAACATACTCAGGACAGGAACAGAAGGGAAACGTCGAAAAATTAATTGAAATTTAAATGCTCGCTGTAGCTTATTGCTCAGTTAATTCAAAATTACAAAAGACTTATTCTTTATACTTAACAATCGTAGCATACCTATAGCTGCTTGCATTTGTTGTGCATAAGACGGAAAACTAACTGAATCACAGAGTGATTCTTGTTACTAAACATTATTCATTTGTAATTTTTCCAATATGATTTGAAAACCTTATGGCCGAGGATACAAAAAGTGTTGTTAAAGAGTTTGTTTATTGCCTTTTAATTAGAGGCGGAGATATGGCACCAACGCTTTATTATTTACCACCCAGTCCGCCCTGTCGTAGCATTCTGCTATTGGCAAAATTGCTCGATTTAGAACTGGATTTAAAAGTGATTAATATACTCGAAGGCGAACAAATGAAACCCGAATTTGTGGAACTAAACCCTCAACACTGTGTGCCGACTATGAATGATGACGGCCTAGTTTTGTGGGAAAGGTATCTAAGAGTTCTCTTCGTTATATAGTTTCACTCGGCCTGCAAATTTCTTCTTGCTTATTTTTTTCTTACATTGTGGACATTGTCTAGTCGGGCTATCTTGGCATACATGGCGGCTGCCTTTGGCAAAGACGATAGCTTATATCCCAAAGATATACGCATTAGAGCTTTGGTGGACCAACGCTTAATGTTCGATTTGGGTACTTTGTACCAAAGAATGGCGGAATACTACGTAAGTGAAAGTAAACGAGCGTAATTAAGAAAATACTTGTATAAAACGTTATTTAATATGATTAAGTTTCCTACGATGTTCATGGGCGCGCCTTTCGACGAATCCAAAAAAGCCAAATTAAGTGAAGCTCTCGGTTGGTTCGATGCCATTCTAAAGGGTCGCAATTATGCAGCAGCTGACCAATTTACTATAGCTGACTTAACTTTGTTAGTAACATTGTCGCAAATTGATGCCTTTGGCTTTGATCTGCTTCCTTATGCGCGTATTAAACAATGGTATAGACGCTGCAAAAACTATGTGGAACCTTATGATTATGAAGTAAAACTTAAATGATCGGGAAATGATGCATTAATAATTATTTCTTTTATTTAGGATATCAATGGCAGTCAGGCTCTCGTTCTAGCTCAAATGTTACGATCAAAAATAGAAGGTTAACGAGTTTATGTGTAAAAATCTAAGGCGTGCATGTTGTTCTCTTGTCAAATGTTTGTTGAGTATATTATGATATATCTTAAGGCGTTAGATGAAAATGTTACTTAATTTCGAACCACAAGTTATTAATAAATGCTTAAAATCTTGTACTGAGAAGTTGAATCCTTTTTATATCCAAAATTTGAGGACGATATATTCATTTCGTTAAAACGTTTGCAACACCCAGAAAGAAGCTTCAGAGGCGCCATTAAGTGTGCACAATTTTGATCAATCAATCAATCATTCATCGTCTTGATGAATACCTATCTATCTGTCTGTTTGCCAGTCTGTGCAATATCTGCGGCGAACATTCTTCAACCCGCAAAGTCAAGCTATTCGCTTCACGCAGGTTAGAGTCCTTGTTTATAATAGAAAATACTTCTGTTTTCGAAAACAAATAAGAACAAAAATTTGTCTTTTGCTCCTTACTAACATTTTACAACAGATAAAAGAGCAAAATTTTCCACCTATATTATACGAATGAATCCACAACACCTGCACAAAAATGAGCCCCAAATTTTATAGGGTATGGAAATTTCATTCTTTGAGAAAGAAAAAGATGATGGATATACAAGACTCGACGAAAGCCGATGATTTTCTTACTTGTCCTGCTCTTAATTGCAAAATATGTTTGATCTCATTTTCATTTTCAATATTCCTTCTCATAAAATAATGGCTAGGTTCCCTCCTAATTGGTAACATATTAGAGGATTTTGATCAATTCAATAAATTAATCATTACAAATGTATTTGTAGCAATCACTAGAGTATGCATATTCGCACAGGAGGATATAATTTAAATCCTACACTACTTTTTAAACTATCAAAGCGCTTTACCTCTCATTTCCAAAGGATCAAATATATATAATTCACCTGCCAAATCGTTTAACTCCATAAAACCAAAACTATAGAAAAATAATAAAATATTTTGTTTACATTTTTTACACGATGTCTTTTGTAGCAATAGAAAATGGTTTGCTTTGTAAAAAATGCTTTAATTGAATTTTTATTACGGATTACATCGGGTTATCAATTAACTTTTGAAATAAATTATTTATTAAAAAATGTTGTGTTGATAAGGTGGGGTAAATCGATTTGGCAAGTGAAGCATTCATATTTCATTCAACTACACCGATGCAAACGAAAGCATACACTTTGTCACATTTACTTAGTTATATTCGCTCTCTATCTTCTTGTTTTTAAACCAGTACGAAACCAGATTTCGTTTGAAAAGTGAAAATAAAGTCAGATCTAACAGTCACTCACCTCCATTCACGGAATAAATGCATCGTTATCGAAACGTAAAAATATAACGGCAAAGTAACAAAACGAAATATTCTATAATGGATGCTTTGACACAATAACCCAATAAAATAGAAAATGATTTTCCATTATCTATTTTTAGAAAAGGCTTTTTCATTCGTATTCGTGTGTATAGGGTACTTGTAAATATCCACTAAAGCACAGTGTTCTAAAGGAAATAGATTCAATGAAAAAATGGAAGAAAAAATTCAACAAAACAACCTAAGGAAATTTTTCAAATGCCGGTGTAGGGCTAAAAATTAATTCTACGCAGGTAATACCAATGTGTGACTTCTTGCATCTTTTTTTGTTGATGTACTGACCTTATACCATCTTGTATAGTTAGTTGGAGAAACTTTTGCTTTGTCGCCGAATATTAAATGGATTTTATTAGTTTTAAATTTTTTAACATCAATAACATGCTGATGGCTATTGTCGCATGTAGCGAAATTAACTAAATTAATTCTTTGATTGGTTTGCTGGAAGTAAAGCTTTTGTGTAGTTTGTGAAGGCTCCCGTTTTGAGAAACAGTTTATTCAAATATCATTTTTTGTTCCCGGAACAGTGTTACTTTTTAAGGGATGCTAAGAATCATTTTTAGTTTTGCACAGCCTTTTCAAATAAATGTGTCAAACGACGTATTTGTTTTTATATATTTCTCTGGCTCAAAAACTTGAATTTCTATTAGTTATTTTATCTTGTTTTTCAAAAGATAAAATTGCACTTAACAGAGACTGGCAGTAGAATTCCTAATTCTTAACATTCAAATGAACTGAAAGGTAGTGGAAGCAATGCAAATCACCAAGTTTGCAAAAGCAACGTCGACAACCTAGTTGCAGATACTTCTTTCATTTCCTTTTCGATTTTAAGTAAAGCATACTGAAAAAAACGTATTATTTGTAGGACGACCCAACAGTTTTGTTTTTTTTTTATTAAAGTTTATTCTCCTAGAAACGCGGCGGGCATATAAGTACGTTATATAAATTTTACCTTTTTTCAAAGAACTCTCTATTATCGCTAGCGTAGAAATACCTTTAAAATAGTTATGTTCAGTACGCGGTTTTGCTTGTTAATGATTAACACGATTCAGACACGATTTCATCTGCCAATCACTATACTTTCAATGCCAATGCCCTTGCAAGGAATAAGGTTAAAGCAGTTGATGAACGCACCGTAGTTTGTCGATGTTAGTAACGATAGGAACGCATACATAATGAATGGATACTGATGAATTAGGTAATTACGATACGACCTCAACTATGCACTAATATGTCCTTTGTTTTACTTTATAATAAGCATAGCGTGTATGTAGGTTATATGCAAAGTTTTGCATCTGTTTTGTTTATATTCCACTGTATGCATATATAAAAAACGACTGTTCACTTTGTTTACCGTTATCACCTTTTTTGCACACAGCATCCTTAAATACATAAACCGATTGTTCATCTATTTAAATCAGTTGTCGCGCGGACATTTGGGCGTGAAGTTTAATATTAGTAAAGAAAACACAAGTTTATTTTTAATCTAATCTTTATAATTTAATCTAAAAACGAAAAGAAACAAGAAACAAAAAAAATGAAATTTGAAATATATCTTACAAAGTTAATTTTACTACTTAGCCAAGTAAAGGCTTCAAATCTCTACTTAGGTGAGTTTGATAATATGTTCGCTGGCATTAGAAAAAAAAAATCGTACCATCAAATTCACTTAATACTCGACTTTAGAATGCTCTTGCCTCTATGCCCAGGATCGTAATAGTACTGCTGCACAGACATCGTCAGAAGTTGTATTGAATGCCTCAATGGCCCGTCATGCTAAAAATGGTTGTTATTTGATATTCATTGTGGGTACCAAGGAGGAAATTGTCACATTCCGCTTCAAAAAAGTACAGTTAAGGCCTCAGTAAGTACATTGCATAGACAAGCAATTCTTTTCCTATCGTAAATAAATAAATTTATGTAAAATTTATACAAATGTTAAGTCATAAATTTCGGATTGATTGAGAAATTTGCATTCGATTAACGGAAAATAGAATTTCTGTTCATTTTACTAGAAAAGTTTACTCGTTTTCCTTGTGCGTAAATCAATTTAAAAATGGAAATTATCGTATCGAAGGAATTCATTATTTAAACAATAATAATGCTCTCGTTCTCTTACACTTATTTGTAATTGTAAATTCATATATTCTTATGAGGTGCCTTTGTGCCTCATCTACATTAGTCAATCTCTTATATGAAATATCTTAAATGAATCTACTTTGTAATGAATTTATGTTTAAACACGAAAATCTTTCTTGCAGCTGTGATGGGACATCAATTTTTGCAAGAAGCTACCGTAGCACTAATTTGGAATGGTAGACACAAACCGAACATACTTTTTAAGATAAGATGAGACAAAAATTCGAATAAACACTTTGTACAAATATTTGCTAAACGACTATTTACACGACTTTATAATATTTATTGAGTTATAGGTTATAAAGGAAATCAAAGCCTGCCGCTAATGTCATGCCCACATATCGTGGAAAGATACAAAATTCAATTTTCGTTTACTTTCACGGTATAATCATAAATTAACCATAACAAAATTCTTTGACGAAAGACAAAATCCAGAATATCTGAATCCAATTAAAAATATGGCAAATTGACATTCATCTTAATCTGAGCAAAATTGTTGGCCGCAGGGGCAAGCAACCGTATGTTGGGTATGTAGCAGAAGCGCTTTTACTTCGAATGATGAGAAATTAAAACGTTTGTGTAAATGAATGATTTTATTAAATAGCAATGTAGATGCATAACTATGCATGTGAAAAAATGCATATGGATGGATTTTTTCTCTTCACATAGGAAAAAAAAATTTTTTCCGATTTTTCCTCTGAAATGATTTATAAAACCACTGACAAGCGGAAAAATAATTTTCAGTTAATTTTCGGCAACGCCCCGATAAGGAAGTTGAAAAGAAAACTGCAGGAAAAAGGTTTTAAAAAAAGATACAAAGTCTTAGTGGAAAAAACGAAATGTCCGGTGAGCATGCCATCCCATATGATGAATTGGAAAGGGTACGTTACAAAAAGAATTTAAAGATGAACATATTTGTCAATGAAGTGCATAAATTACGTTTCATAAATAGCGTCGCAAAGCGGCAAGCGCAGCCCGTAAAGCTTCTACATATACTCCGGCTGAACCGGTAATTGAGTCTGAAGCTATGGCGGCTATACATGAAATTTTCAATCCCAAACTAAAGTTGCCGCAAACGACTGGGCCATACCGTCCACCCAAAGTGGTAAGCGCAAATCACCTTGTATCCGTACAAGATCTGGATATTAGAAAATTGGCTGAACTTAAAGAAGTGAGCGTCCAAGATCAGATCTTTTTAATTGAAAAATACTTTGATAATATTTTTGTTCTACGAATATGTAAAAGGCTTTCCTATTATTTGATACTGATGGTGACGGTTTAATAAGTAAAGAAGATTTAAAAATGACTTTTGGTGCTTTGGGTAGTCAAGTTGAGGACGATTTTTTAGAAGAAATGCTTAAAGAGGTAAAGCAACAGAAAAATATTAACTCTTTTAAAAGTGAATAAACAAATTTTAAAAAAGGCCAAAGATCCTTTGGATGTTGATGCATTTTTGGAACTTATGAGCCAACGTACCGTTGAATTGGATCCGGAAGATGTTTTATTAGAGGCTTGGAGTAAGTGGGATTTATATGGTACAGGCCGAATAGAACAAAGAAAGTGAGTACTTCGAAAGAACAAAAAAAAGAAGGAATAGCTTACCAACATTTGCCAATATCTTGTAGGATTTATGAAGAGCTAACCAATTTCGGAGATAAAATGTCAGTGGCCGAGGCAAAAGAGGCTTTACGTTATGCGCCATTAATTAAACCAAAAAGTCTAGATGACCCGCCCATGATAGATTATCCCGCCTTTTGCCGCTTATTGAGCGGTTTAAGAAAACGTGAAGAGCCTCAATAATTCAATCTTATCATAAATTAACTTTAAAAGAAAAAAATGGAAATCAAATTCGTATTTAAAGTTAAATAAAACAAAATTATTTGCGCATAATAACTATGAAAAACGTGTATTCTAAGTTTGCACTTAAAAAAATTGGCTGCAAATCAAAAATTTTTACCGTTGCATTACTGTGTTCTTTTTTTTCATTCACTTGCAGCTGTTTGGACTACATCGAGATTTTTCCATACCTTCGTGAACCGGTTGTTGAGAACATAACTATGGCAGAATATATGTATTGCAATTATAGTCAATCATTTGTACCCTCACAGCCAACGCCGTCGTCAAACTTTGACAGCATTAATGACAAACGCCTGGCCAATTTATCTAGTACGACCCAAATACATATCACAACTACGAGGCCCATGTTTCTTTCGCCTACTCACGAGTTTATTTATAGCTCGCATAGAATTCTAGCCATACGTGTACGCTTCAATAAATCATCATTACCTGGTGCAAAACGATTAATCAATAATTGGCCTCTGCAGCTAACAGGAGAATATAGATTTTTGAAGAAAGGTTAACATTTTAAGAAAAATTAAATTTAAAGAATATCTCCAGTTTTTCGTGATTATAGAACATTTTCAAAACGATGGTCGTTTAATAAAGAATTCGTATTGTGATTACTATTTCTTTGCCAACCCCGAAAACTCTTACGAAGCATTAAAAGTGTGGAAATACTTTCACTCTCCGCGTTTTCCCGCCAAATATCCGGCCCACATAAAGTGCTTCTACAAATTTATTGGAAGGTAAAGCTGAAACATATAAAAATGAAAAGCAAATCAATTAGAAATTCTTTAAACTTCTTCTTTCAGGCGCAATAGCCACGTGCAAGTATCGTTTGAAGAAATAAATATACCGAAGGGAGAAAACGGGTAAATTTCTTTTCGTAATGATTGACTTTGCTTCTTAAGCTTATTGCATTGCAGTTGCGACTTAGATAAATTAATTATTTACGATTCGGAATCGGCCAACACTAATAAGATAGTCGATGTTCTTTGCGATTTTCCACCTTCAAAAGTGTTTCTAAGTTCTGGTCCCGACTTAGTAATTGAATTTAACGCGAGTTCCAACACAACAGCTAAAGGCTTTAGAGGAAAATTTCGTTTCCTACACAATGAAGTACTCATATTTATTGATACGCAGCGATATGTTAACGCAACAGGTGCGTAACAATCAAAATAAACGTAAACTTTTTTAACATTTATTGAGAGTCTTTTATGTTTCAGAAAGTAATCAAAATCGAATACCAGACTATGAAAATGAAAAAATTAGAAATACTCAAGGTAAGTGCTGTAATTACTATTCCGCTGTATACATAGTTGCACATACAATTTTACAAATTTAAAGTATATAATAAAATACATTTTTTTCTATTGGTGCATTTTGCAATACTTGAAATATCATAAACAGCTTTGATTTGTGTGTACAGAACGCTGTACAGCAAACTAAATATGGAACCCGTAATACATTCATAGTCCGTTAGAAATTCTGTGTACATCTACGAAAATTTGCTGGATATGATGTAAATGTTCTCAATTGATGTTTTAACTAACACTAACTAAAATTCACTCCCGAGGGTACTAGAAGTACGCTATACATTTTGCGAATTTATGCATTAGGCTACACTATGCAGCCTTTCAAACAAGCCTTGACTATTTATTTGTCTTTGACTTTTTCTTTCTTTTTTACAAGTTTCAGAGCAAGTAATCAGAGCAATAGTATTATATTCCGAATATCACTTTACTAATTCCCCGCAGTATTATTGTATTCGAATCTGTTGTATTTGTTGAACTGATTTTTTTGGGTATACAGCGACAAACATTTTATATCGAGTAATGTCGGTTATATTTTTCTGAGAAGTCTGCGAATTAATTGTTGTTAACCATAAACGTTAAGGAGTTTTTAACTTTACTTGTTTACATTTCGCATTAATTCTTACTAAATTTACTTTATTGTTATCAATTTTTCCAACAGCGACACCCATAGTTTTGTTTGCTCATGGGAGTCTATTGTGATTTCCCATTTAACTCAATGGTTATGCCTTTGAAATAACAATCATCCAAGACAACATGATTATATTGTGTTGCGTGGCAAATCAGAAAAGATCTCAAAGAATTAAAAAAAAACAAATTGGATGCCTGCTATAATCGAAGAAAAAATTGAAGAAATGTAGCTAAACAAAAATGAAAAATCTATCATCTATAATACACGTAGATCTATCTGTTGGTAATATTATTTTATCTTTGCTAACTTAGTTATTGCGCTTTCATTTCCACTGTGTATACGATAATTTGACCTTAATTTCGAACGGATACGGAAATGAGTTTCAACCAAGAATGTCGTCGTTATATTAAATGTTGTGTTCAAATATGAACGAAGAAAATTGCTCGTCTCTTGTTCTGCAGTCAAAATAGACCTTTACATTAACTTCGTATGGTTTTGTTCTCTTTTTTATTTCCCGTAAAGTTTGCACACAAACACATTCTTACTCAAGGATGTAAACATCGAACGCTCTTCCTTTTAGTGGCTGCGTTTTGTGAGTGCGTATAAAGCATATAAAAATTGTCAACATCCAATTTTGCCATTCAGTACGTGTTACTGTGGCAAACGATACGATACGGTTCAGTAGAAAAATTCCCAAAAATTTCTTCAAAGTTGTACATTATACAAATAATATGCGCAGCACATTATATTCACAGAAAAGTTGTCTGTTATATGCAACAAAAAGACAGAACCAATGATATATCTTCAATTTGCTAACAGCAACAGCAGCTACGTTACTTACAATCAGTGCAATTCTAATATTCATGCAAATGCTGTATCAACCGGTGGTTCCGGCGCATCGTATTTATGGTGCGCAAAATTCTCTATGTTTACACGCAAAAGGTTCGATCTTCAATCAAAACAATACAAATACGTCAAATTATAGTAAGTAAATTACTTGAGTGGTGTGTGAAAGAATTTAAATCTTTGATATCATTGAAATATTTTTTTTCTTCGAATGAAGCCTAACTCTGAAGTTGAGGTTGAGGTTTAAGACACATACAATAGCTGGTACAGATTTCATATTTTTTAAAATAAGGCATGATGTAGGGAGTGTACGAAGTGTCCGGTCCACTCGTGTTAGAATCCCTGTCCTACAAGGTTCGCCTTGGTGATATGAGACCAGTGCAATGAATTTCGTTAAAACATATCAAAAAGTGTGTGCTATTGGCTGGGCACGAAAATGTAATATTAAATGAAAAAAGATTCTGAATCGATCATTATAATTGGCTAAGTCGCCGGAATGCTTCGGAATGTTAAAAATATTCACACAAACTTCAGATGATTTGGGGTTTAAAAATCAAAACTTGTTCACTTGCAACTATCACTTTTCATAACAATTTTTGTAATTTTAATATTGCATTGATTTTATTGATCTCACAACCCATCTTGTACAGAAAAATATAAAAAGTAAAAACTAGTTTTTTGCACAAATCCACCAAATGAAAAAATTATTATTTGCTAGGTGGTATTAGGTAGAAGGAAACACAGAATTGAAAATCGTCCAAAGAAGCCAAAAAAATGTTGCGCATACGAAGCTATGGACCACAAAATTCAAGATATATAACCTAAAAGTTAAAGTTAAAATGAAATTGTGAGAAAAGAACAATTAACTAAAGTCTTTTTTTACCTCCTCATCAGCTTTTTTGCCTTCGGTATAGTGTCGGGTTCTTCCTTTGCCAAATATTTGCGCATGCCTACTAAGCTATTGACGGCGTATTGAGACCAATCAAAAGAGACCATATCGAAATTATACAACCGCTGATCTTGTGAATTCATTAAACTCCATAAATATTTCGTATTGCTAGTATCAAAAGTCCAAGAATTTTCAGTAAAATAACGCAAATAACTGGAAGTTTTATGGATCTTTTGATAAGTTCTTGTCATACGACGTTTTCGACCCATCGACAGTAAAATCGTGTCTATTATATAACCAGGTACGGTATGGTAAACGAAGCATAAAAACTTATAAATCCAATAAGTTTCGGTGCATAGTAGGAAAGGATACCAAATCATACTAGCCAGAGGAATCTTTCTACCATACCCCTCAACGAAACTTTTATATGTAGTCCATTTTAGGGTGTTGCTCTCATCAGGCACCAAATTGTAAATGGGCGGTTTAAGTGACGGTCTATCAAGAAAATAGTCGCTTAAAATAAAAATAAATTTTATATAAACTTTTGTTGCGTATTCACATCTGCGTTATGTCGGTGGCGGTATGCCAAGCGCCAGCCATAATCATGTTGACGCAATAATCTACGGGTACTAAGCCAGCATTGGAGGAAGCTCGACAATAAATGACTCTGAGAACCCCAAGAGCGCCACCATAGATTATACTAGTTGGTCCGTATAAATTGTCTATCCAGCCCGGCACGGGCTCATTACTCGTTGGTATGACTAAAATCAGTGCATATAATTATTTAATTTCATTTCTAGCTCAATCAAAATTTTCGAACTCACTTATACCCGGTCGAAATATACATATTGGTAGCGTATTGCCTAGTTTGAGTACGGCTTCTTCAGCCACGGATTTTGTATAACAATAAGTATTGGGGAATTTATTAACCAACTTTGAATGCATGCTATCCAAGGCGGCGTCATTTACTTTTCCTTTGATTTTTAATAGTTCCTCTGCGGTTATACCCAAACGGTCAGTGTAATAAGTCTCTTCGATATGAAAATCTAAACAATTAGCAAAAGCGGATGAGACGTGCACAAATGCCTGCATAAGAATAGAAATAAATAACAAAATTAAATAGTATGTGGAAAAATCTATTAACTATTAAACTTTGATTCCAATTATATTAATTATGCGCACTACGTCCAAACGCAGACACATTGCACACATTTTTGTGTTGTGAAAAAAAAAAACTCTCATATCTCTCTTAAAAATTGTCGGAACGTATATTTGCTTCGTAGACTTCGGTATAAACAAAACCTACTGCTTACTACTATCACAAATAAATAAATATATGGGACAGAGTTTTGAGCAATAGCAAGATTTTTTAACTCGTTTTTACTTTCAATTATCCAATGTGTGATTAGCGAAAACCACCAACAAAGAAGTTTATCTGCAATAAATTTTCTTATATTTCGCGGCTAGGTAACGCACTCTTGAGCAAGACCGGCCAATCGGTTTTGTTATTGAAGTAATAACCCAGAGTGTATATATATTCATAAAAGCAAGTGAACAAACAATTTCATGGATATAAAATACGATTTGCTTTATGCTTACATATCATGCGAAAACCGTTGATATTAGATTTCAAACGAATGCAATCCATTTTCGATGTTAAATTTTCCTCTTTTTCTCTCTCTCTCAAACTCACTCATTCTTTCTTTCTTTCTTTCTTTGTTTAACCTATGTTAAATCCACTTAATATTTCAGCATATAAAAAAAAGGAAAAAAGTTTACCTACTTTTAATTTTTTCATTTCTTTGGCTAAATTCAATAAATCAACGGTTGCCTGCACATTAACACTGATCGCATTGCTTAGTGGTTCATTAAATCGCACTGTAGCCGCTGTATGTATGATTACATCGCAGTTTTCAATAAGCTCTTGCCGATCGATATTCGTCATGCCTAAATTGTTTAGCATACAATCACCAGCTATCGCTTTAATATATTTAACGGGATCGTTATGGAGTTTAAGTAACTTCTCAAACAGCTGCAATTAGGCAAATAATTTCTGATAAAATGTTTTTAATTTAAGATGAATTGTAGCAAACCACTTACGTGATCTTTAAATATATGTGGGATACGCTCATTTATATCTTTCCCGGCTTTGGGTCGCACCAACACATAAATTCTTTGAATCTGTGTGGTACGTAACAGCTTCTCAATAAGCACTGAAATGATCACATTACGATAAAAAGATTAACAACTCATTTAAGTTTAGCTTAGGCAAGATTTTATTATAAGCTTGTTGTGTTGCTTCAACAAACTGCCAAATATATTTCACAAAATATTTCTAAAAAAGTAAATTTATATAAATAGAATACAATTAAGCAGATCCTTCGTATTGGTCGGCGAATTTTTTTTAATCCTTTAGAGATTACGACGTGATGTTCGCCCAAGTTTATCATGACACACTTGAAGAGGGTTTGCGATTTATTAAAATTCGTATTCCGCGACAACAACTGGTTCACGTCTGCTTGAGCTAATTAAAAATCGGATGAAAAATATCCTATTTATTGTACAAGGTTCACAATATTCCTGTGCCGACAAGATGCAAAAGTAGGGCGAGGGAGTTGGAATTTGTCCTCAACTGACCCTCTGGAATTACGAGAAAATCTGATACGTATACCGCTATTTTAGCTACAAAGCAAACCTTTGAGACCCATAAAGTAGAATTTATTAATTAAACTTCTTTCGTTGTGTCTTTTTGCCAAGGTTCTCTATGATATATAAGAAACTTATCTTATACCAAAGCGTATAGAAACGTTTGTCCTGAGTCTTCAAATATCAAAATTATTCGTTAATTGTAAAGGACTAAAATTTTGCATTTACTGTACTGTAGAATGAAGCAGTATTAGTCGCACTGTTTATATTTGGGATACCAATGTCTGTCTCGTCTTTAGTAGTTATCCCTTGCCAAAAATAATAAACGAGAATGCAGAATCCGTTTGTATCGCGAGTTAGAATAACAATGTACGAAATACAGTGAACGAAAGTTATTTGCTGACTCTTATAGAAGTAACATATTTTTTTCATTATCTTTAATTTCCTAAGCAGTCTATCATTGCACCTATTGGATAGAGAGGGCTTTTCGGCTTTACGTCTGTTGACGAACAATACAGTCGCTTCTTTAATTTGGAACACGCTATACCAAGTTTTGCTTTACCCTTTAACACTTTTAGGCTATTATCAGAATATACGTATCACACGAATCCTATCTTGTAAAAGAGTCATCAGGACAGGTAACAATCATTTCATTAATGGCACCAGCACAAATAAAATAATACATTATTGAAAAAATACAAACAATCGCAAGTCCTAATCATTAACTAAACTAAATAATGGCATCTGCGCACATGCGACGCTTATGACATTGAAAGCTACGCGGTTAAGAAGATTACACAAAAATGATAGGCAATAAATTTCTAAATACTTTTTATTTACCGTAATTCTAAAGAAAGGCGCGATATTTCTGGTTCTGTTTATAAACAAAGTTCATACACTAGCACATAATATATAATACATCATGAGACATGCGGGAATGTGCTTTACGAAATTGACACAAAGCCGCAAAAAACATCACCTTGTACTTTGAGTTTCATTAACATCATTTATTTAAAACGTTAATCGAACTCAAGATTATAATTAATGAGAAACAATAAAACGTAATAATTGACTTTTCGTTTGGGGATTTTTAAAAATGAACTAAAGAATACATAGATACATTTAACTATATGAATCAATTAATGAGGTAAAAAAAGTGGAAAATTTATTTCTTCTCACTTATTGTATTAACATACAAACTTAAAACAGATTTAAAAGTTTGTTGACTAGCTGTGGAAGTAAATGATTTGAAACGACTTTTTGCAAATCAATTATCGTTAGTTCAATCTTATATTAAAGATTAAACGGATTTTTTTTATTATTATTAATTACATCCTACACTACCTCCACGCATTTTTACTTGCACTTATACTGCAAGTGCGGATATACGGACTTATGTGACGCCCAGAAAAACTTAATAAAAACCGACCTCTAATAAAACCGGTCTACGCGTCGGGCTATCTGTTAGTCTGGGAATCTAATATCGGTCCAGATACTTTAGCCTTCAATTTACATATTTTTCAATAAAAGACACATTGAAGACATTTGTTAACATATAAGGGTACTCATGAGAAATTATTGTGAGACAAAAACATTTCGTGATGAGAGTTGATCCATAAGTAATTTGTCAGTAATATAACGTAAAAAAATTAATTGCACCAAATTTTTAAAAATAGGCAACAAAGTCTAGCTTTTAGTAACTTATGATCAATGAATAATAATAAGGTTTTTGACAAGAAATTTCATTTTGCTACACTCTTCACTACTCACTCAGCTTGCGTTTTGGGCTTCCTCGGGTAGGAGGTAAAAGTTTTTGAGAAAATTTGTAAACAGAAAATAATCTCCCTTCGTCCGCTGCATTGGCGATATGGTCAATGTATATGGCATTCTTTTAATAAAGAATCTATGCACATTTCCCATTTTTTTACACAATGATTTCCTCTATGTTTTGTTCGTTGCTTTATTATCGAAAGTAGGAGGAATTTGTTGGTTTTAAAATTATTACAACACTTTATGGTTGGTTTTTAAATTAATGGGATAATTAATTTTTAAAATTTTCGTTGCTGTTGTATTTTGTATCTGCGTTTATTTTCTTAATTTTTCTTAATTGGTTGGCAGAGCTTTTAGAAATTTCAGAATATTAATAGTTAAAAAAAATATGAACATAAACATGTTATGTAAACATGATCAATTGGAAAGCCAAATAAAATAGCGAAAAGTTTTTAACTCGATATTACTTTTATATCAATATCTTACACACCTTTCCCTAAAAATCCTGTTCCGCCAGTTAGAAAAATCGTTTTATTTTTAAAAAACTTTTGAATATTTGAGGAGTCCATTGTGATTCTTTTTTAATTAATTTATTATTAGCCACTTATTAGCAGGGTTTTGGTTTTTTCTTTCTTAAAAAAAAAAAACAACAAAAATTTCTTGTTTATCCGCCGCAAGCTTGTCAAAAATTAAACGGTCTCGCTTCAGTTAAAACACAAATAGAATCAGTTTTTGAAGTGATAACTGCTTATATATGCACACATCAGCATAAACACTTACTCTCACGAACACACATACGCATGTCTAGAGACGAAAAGTTTCCCGAAACGAAAGTAAAAAATTTAGCTAAACACACAATAAATCCTAAATATAACACAAGTAGGTAACCCAAGCTGCATGTCTCACACACTTACAAACTGCTCGCTAACAGTATCAAACCGTCAAGCGTAGCGTTAATAACAATAGCAGCACTAGTTAAATAACACAACTAGCTACTTTGGATTGTTTACGACTACGACTGCGCTTATGTCTAACAATAACAGCAACGGCTCCGCTTACTACAAGAACAACATTCCATTGCCCCATGCTCCATAATTTTCCACACTCAATGACGTTATTCAGAAAACACTGGATATTCAGATACACAATACAAGCATACATACACAGGTGAGCATGTTTGAAGAAATACGAAAAGAAGGCAACACAACAATCTTTAACGCAATAAAAAAGCGGGGGCCATGTAACTTCAGCATCTATGTAGAGATGCTCAGAAAAATTCCGCTGCGATTTGCGGCTTATATCAGATTGCATACACTATCTGTATAACTGGTACAAGCGTAAAAATAAGAAAACTCTACAATCGTCAAATATACGAAAAATTTGCGTTGTGCCTCAACCGACACATTGACACAACTGGCATGACCAATTTAAGTTCCTTCGTTTCGTAAACGCCGACTGACTGCTTCTGCTCCCCTAATTATGGATGATGTCATGGAAAAGTTGGATCATCAAAGATACATTGGAAGAAAAGTTAAAGAGAAAATTGCAGAAGGAAATTTACAATACCATCATCAACACTACTCTTCCATTAACCCTCTATTAACTCCACCTTTATATCCAACAAATGTTGAGAAAACCAAGATGCAAACAATTTCGAGAATTCGCCTTGGTCATACAATTGCAACTCACCAATGGATCTTGAAGAAGTCTTCCTCCCCAATTTGTGGACAAACTCTCACTATGAAGCACATTCTCTGCGACTGCCATAACTTTTCCTTAGCTAGAAGTCTAACCTTTGGACATTCTAAAATCAGCTTCAGAACCGAATATCAATTCTATATATTACTTTATTAGTACTACCAAGCTCATTATCTAATGTACATTTATTTATATTAGACCCGATAGCCTGTGCTGCTAGTGCTCAATGTCTTTTTTTTTTAGTCTAAGAATTTATTTCATTAGTCTAAAATTATAATAATAATAATAATAATAAGTTTGTGCGAATGTATCCAACACCAAGAAGAACTTGAGATGGGCCTACCTTTTATCAGCTTGACTGCCCGCCGTCCGTCCGTCTTGTTTTCTTGTGTTCAAACTACAGACCGCATTTTTGAGGACATATTTTTTGTTGCTTTGGAAATAACCATTAGTTCATAAGTTAGAGTCAGACAGATTAATTTAAAAGTTTGGCAAACGATAATAAAAAAATATCATCCCACGACATCGACAACGTTCCATTCGTCATTATATGGCGACGAATTATCACTTTTCAAGCAGATTACATCACTGTTCAGGCCATCAATATATATTATTGTCACTATTTCATACTATGAACACGTTAACAAGTATATGGATCTTTTATCAAAAAGTTTATATAAAAGTGTATATTTAAAAGAATGTTTATTGATGTACATGTAAAAATTACTTTTCTTAGATATGTAAAAAAAATTTTATATTTGGTAAAATACGCATGCACAACTCGTGATTATTATTAAAACTCATCTTTAGACCGCATCATTCGACACGATGATATAATACCGCTATCGTGCAGCAAAATTTTGTCAATTTTATGATTGAAAAGTAATGAAAAACACAATAGTACAGAACAAAAAAACATTTGTCGCAGGAGTTAATGTTTTTTCTGCCAAACAACAATAAAAACAAATCTCACTAACTAATACGTAATCATATATATATGAAATAAACTAAAATGATAACGGTAATGATGACTTTTTGCGTATTGCCTCGTGTAAACGTTTAAAAGCACACGTCTAAGTCCTCGCTTTACTAACTAATGGAGGCAGCATTCGATGTCTTCTAAATCGCAATTTAGGTCTCGATACATATTGCCAAGGGCTACTAACACTTAAAACCTCTGAAAAAAACCATAACGATATAAATGTAGCACGAAAGCTTTGTCTAGGGTAGTGCGAATAACTATCGAAGTCAAAAAGACAGAGAATGTTTCGATAGAGTCATTTTGCAGATCCTAAATACGATTGTATCGATTATTTGGCTCATATTTTCTAGCTATAGGTTTTCAAATACTGCACGCTTCATGCGACTGCTTTCATAGGTATTGCATTTACGTTTTTTAACCTTGCAAATTGTTTGCCAAAGATAGTATTTAAAGCTGAAATTGTGCTTTTAAAGAAGTTAAAATTTATTTAAAATAAGGATATATGTGAAATATTTTCCACAGAAAAATGCCTTTTTTCCTTTGAAATCGTTTCATACGTCGTTGTTTGTCATAAACTTATGATAAACGTGTGTTAACAACATTCATGTTAAACGACCAGGACCCGCCAGAGTGGCCAAGAAGAGTCTCGACTAACAACAACTCAATGGCCATGAGTTCAAAGATCAAGTGTGGTAAAGTTTTCAATTAAGCCTGCTAGGCTTAGATGTTAGTGCTTTTAAAGACTTTTGCATTAGAATTTGTTCTAAGGCTAAATTAATAGTAATAATATATCGTACGTACATACAAGCTACGTAAAACCCACGATATTGAGGAATACTACTTGCCCATTTCGGTCTCCACATTAATCATGAACCACGCTTAAACTCTGAAATCATAGCCATTTTTATATCTTGTAAAGCGCACATGCAACAGATTATCGAAGTATCCGTCTTAAATAAGCAATATGAACTCGGGCATAATTATTTTATATACCTAGCGTTTAGCTAGTCTTTCTTTTAACAACATTCGATTAGCCGAATAGATTCAATTTCTTTTAAATTTCTCCATAATGAATAATAAGACTAATAACAGCTTAGTAATGTGACATTAACGATAAGTTCACTTCATGTGCATTTCTTAAAACTAAAGATTTCGCATAGCGTTTTTCTAGTTATTGGACATAACGGCTTTCTCGGAAGGTCAATATATATATATAAGAAATATATATTAACGAAAAATCATGCATTCATGCTTTTTTAATGTACGTAACAGCCCAAGTTCAATCCGTGGAATTAAGCCGCTAAACTGGCAGACACTACGCATTGGCAATGACAGTACACACTGGTTTACACATTTCATTTTACAAGTATAGCAAGCTTACTGCCCATCGTGTTTGTTATATAAGTCAACAACTAAATCATTTATTGATTTCCTCCTTAAAACCAGCTCCCACATGTTAACGAACATTAATGCGGGCTTCTTATGCGGAATTTCACGTTTAACGAAGAAATTATTATATGCCATAGCCCGTCTATAAAACAGATAAATCGCGAAAAAGAACAATAAAAATAGTTCTGATCACATATTAATCAAGATCAAATGTATTGAAATCACACCCGTCAGTAGATAAGCGAATCTAGAACCTTTTAATTTCGCGCCACTTGTTCAACTGAACTGCTATGCGGGTATAAGTATAAAAAACTTTTCAACCTCGTCCATTTTTCTGATTAGTTTCTAATATAAATAGAGTTTAACACTAACACGTTCTATATATGTTCAGAATACACAGTTGAATGTCGATTTATTTGCTCTCCCTCACTACAATATACATATTCTAATGACCCTTGATGAATTTTCATTTAAGAAGAATACCAAAAAATAGAATAGTATAAAGTTGGTGTAGTTTTTATCAAGCAAATCAAAAATGCTAATCTTATCGACAGTAGTGCGTTTCATTCATTAGGAAAGATTGTTAGCATACAAATTTGCAATATTACCTTACACTTAAAATACAAAGCATTGTTTTCTATTATTCAGCTGAGAGAACATTTTTCCATTAAGTGTGAAAATGAAAAAATCTCTTGAACGTATAGAAACCGTATAAATGTACAGCCACTTCTTCGATACATAATATCTTTCTTTTGATTTTTTTATGGCTCAATGCAATTTGAGTAAAATTATATCTCAAGTCACAACTAATATATTCCCTTAAATATTTAATTTCATTTTCGAAAACTGGTTGTCTGTGGTAATCTTCCAGAGTTTTTCCCAATTAATTCAGGCGCCAGTTCGACTCACTGCAATAACCACATCTGCATGCAATAATTCGTCGCTGAATTTTTCAATATAAGCTTTATTGTATTCTTATTCATAGTTAACAACAAATAAGAAGTAACAAATATATACTAAAACAAAAATCCCATTTTTTCTCCATTCAATCGTAAAGAATTTTAAATTCGATGCAAAATACTCATCTTATAAAAACTGCATAAAAGGGATACATTTGCAAAGATTTTCGTTCTAAGGAATCTTCTAACCATTTAATATTTAAATGTCGACAAAACGGGTGAAATTTTAACCGACTATCTTTTAACTTTATTGAAGCCGTGGAAGTTTCATGAAAAGCCACGTTAGCTACTTTCGTGTCAAAAGTAACGGAGCCGCCATTACCTTTGAAATTTACAATAACATCTTCGGATTTCAATTCATCCGAAAAGTAGGCAACTAGACCTTTAAATAAATCGCTGTCTAATTTGTATTCTTTCACTTCAACCTTCGATTGTTTCTGTTCTTCGCTTGTTATCTTACGTTTTCGATTTTTATCAACGCAACCCTCTAGATTGCTTTCATTTAGTTCTGATCTCTTAGGCGAAGTTTTTGTGAAAACATCTATCGCCGTTTGTCGTTTCACACCTGTTTTCGTTTTTAGACATTTTGGCCTTAAAAAATCTTTAGAATCTTCTTTACAATCTCTTTCCGATATTTCACCGCGAGTATTGTCAATATTGCTTGATGGTATGCTTAACTTTTCATTTATGACGATGTCATTTGTGGGTTGATCACAATGTTTTAGCAGTAAATCTACATTAACATTATTTTTAGATGCCTCGTATAGCTCTTCTAAATGTTTTAAATCAGTCGCTTCTTTGGCAGTTTTATCATCTCTTAGACGGGTTATGCGTGGAAAACGAATAGATATTCCAGCAGTAGTATTTTCTCCCGATTTCGTAAACTCTGCTCCTGTTATTTCCCATACAGGCATTTGAAGCGGATCCTTAGCTACAAAATCAGGTAGTAAAGATTTACTACACAAAAGCCATGTAGGTACTCGGTATGGATTGGATCGTTCCATCAGCTTTAATAGCTCATCATGCATATCTAAACGGGCGTTGTCGTCCAATCCAGTGTGTACCTTTGTTACCGTCTTCCACAAAAAATCACGGCTATCGTAACAGCCCATCAGAAAAATGCTAAGAAGCCCTCCTTTTTTACCAGAGCCATATGAAGCGCCCAGCACCACTAAATCCGCACTGTCAGCCATTTTGCCTTGGTACAAGTAATCTTTCTTTACCTTAATCCAACCTCGCTTACCCGGTTGATAAGTGCCACAAGGATCTTTAAGAACGACTCCCTCCAGATGAGCTTTTAACACTTTCGCAACCATTAAAGCCAACTCGTGTTTATTTTTCAAGAAGTGAATTTCAGATAATTGCACATATGATTTAAGAGGTTTGATATTGTCTTCCAATATTTTACGACGGTCTTGGAAAGATCTAATAAAAGAAAATATTTTAATAAGAAGCGATCTTTATTCTCATGCATATGTTGGAAACTTACAAGTTCGTTAAATCCTCTCCTTTAAAAAGCATGCAATCAAAAACAAACAAGCATACGACGGCATTTTGAAATTTCTTCTTTTTATGAGCACCCAGCGTACCGAATGGCAATAGTTCATTTGTAACTGTGTCAACCAATATAATTTCTGAGTCCAAAATCATATCGCCAGAACAAGGAAAGGCTTGAGGTATAAACTCTTTAAAGCGCTTTACCTTGTGCTCCATAACCGGCTTTAAGTTACGACTAAAGAAACTAAAAATTCGAAACGGTGGAATAAGAGAAATATTCTTTTTAGGACAGAGAGTACCGGAATTCGTCATTGCCTTGTCTATGTATTTGAACACGTTCACCATCATACTTGATCTCACTAAAAAGCCCATTAGGACATTTCTTAAAAGCGTCTTCTACTGAATTGCAAGCATTTGCTAGCATGGGAGAAATGGGAACCATTACTTTCACCTGCCCAAAGCGAATGTACGTAAATTTATTTGTATATACTACTTTTTTGAACATTTTCGAGGAATTTACTTTTCTTTCTTTTGAACTCATTAGTTTAGCCTCTGTTTTTCTGTTTGTTGTCGGGACCGTTAGGCTAACTTGTTCAACCACAGATTGCAAATTACGCGTAACCTGATATGTTGGATAAGCCGTAGGTCCAAAAGCAGCTAAAACATGACTTGCTTTCGCGTTCATTCTAAGATCCTGCTTAATAATACGTATAACCTGATGCACAACAAAATTATATGTATCTAAATAAACATTTTCTTTCTTTAGTAATTCACTTGAGTTTACTGTTTTTAAGTCTGCACTTGTACTTTGATTACACAACTGCTTTAGAAGTTCAGTTTGCTCATCCTCTTTTGTAAGTTTAGTAAGTTCTTCCAGCAGCTCGTCCACTTCCTGTAAATACAAGCTGCTTATAGACTGAGGCACGAGTTTAGCAGATAATGTGAAGTATTTACTTAAGATCTCTGAAATATCGCCATCTAAAAGACATGTGGACATTTGTATTCAATCCAAAAAGTTTATATTGTCTATTTCTTACTTACTTTGCTCCAAATCGTGTTGCATTATTTGGGGATCGATGTTAAAAAGACGCGAAAACAACTTGAGCATTTGCTTGTTTTGTAAGTTATACACTCGCTGAGAGTCGGATGGTATTAACATCCTCATCCACACCAGTAAATCACCGTTGAAACCTATATGATTGCTACCATGCTCAAAGAAGTCTTTTAGAATTTTAGCTTTATTCAAATAACTGCTTTCCTTGGCCACTTTTTCGCAGACATTGGCAAAGACAAATAAACGATTGTCTTCTACTTTCCACATCTTGAAGCATATATGCCGGATTTTCTTGCAAATCTATAACCACATAATATCACCTAACATTAATCAAAAACAATCAATTTCTAACCTATTTATTTACTATTTCACAATTTCAGGTGACTGTAAATTCATGTACGATTCGAACTTAAATAAGACGGGCATTTTTGACACTAATCAGCTGTTTACGATACAACACATTAGGTTAGCAGAAAATAACATTTTGTTTCGCGCAGTGGAACCAATAGAATGTACTTATGAATTCTACGGCCAACGCGAGGAAAGAGTTCAAATCAAATTCTTAGATTTTAATATCCCCAGTGAATCGCAAAATTCTCCCAATTGCTATGCAAATAATTCATTACAGCTGTTAACTGATGTTAGGGGGAGCAAATACGAAGTGACAGACATGTATTGTGGACGATTTCTACCAAAACCGATAATGTCAAAAGGTACAAAATTAGCGCTACAATTTGTAGGAAAATATCCAATTTCTCAATACGACGACAACGGCAAAGGGATTTATTACGGTTTTAAAGCCGAATACCGATTTTTAACAAGTAAGTGTTATACGATATTAATAGCGGTAGAGGGAGGAATGTACAAAACCAGTTTCCGCGCAGATTATGGCGTAATCAGCGGCCACCAGTTGGGGTACGACTGCATTTTTACTTATAACAGCACAAAAAAGAAAAGTGGTTTATTCATGTCCCCTAATTTTCCCGGATTTTATCCTCAAAATATTATATGCCACTTCTATTTTTACGGAGACTTGCAAGAACGAATTCTTATACAATTCGATATCTTTGACGTGGAAGGTATAGGGAGGTAAGGTGATTATGTAATATAACAAATATCAAACAATGTAATTTTTCGTTATTGTTTTAGTTGCGAGTATTTGACGGCTAGTGATTACGTCGAATTTTCTAATTTTATGAGCACAGATCGTAAATATCGGAAATTTTGTGGTAAACGTGAGAAATTCAATATACGTTCGGATGACCGCTTCTTTCGAGTATCACTCTACACCAACGATCGCTTCGATCGTAGTGGTTTTCGGGCTTATTACTCCTTTGAAAGCAAAGCAAAGTCATCGGATAACACTTCAGCCCAAGGTTTTATGATTTCGCACGCAAAATGTTCAAAATTAACTGCTTACTTTCAAATAAATAGACTTATTTTCATTACGTTACTTTGTTCATTGTATTAAATTAAAACTTTTCAGGCTATGAATGCCATTTCAAGAAATAAAACAGTAATATCACTCAGTAACTTCATTTTTTACATAGAAACAAATGTAAGTCACAATTAAAAAAAAAATAAATTTATGCATCACCTTCATGGGTCGTCTTACATATTTCAACACATTTGAACACAATTATCCCTGAATCTGACCCAATTATCACATAGAAACATTTCCTTTTAATATTGTGGGTCTCCATTAAAGCCATTACTTTAAATCCTAGAAAATGTAATTGGTATTTAATTTTACCGATGTTGTTACGCACAAAATTCATTATTATTTTTTCATTTATTCCTAGTAGAATGCATATTATTAAAAGATTTGGCAACCATATTTTCTGCTATCGCTTTTGCTCTGCGCACTGTCTTAAATTGCTTTTGTAGTCCCATTCGTAAACAAAAATTGCTGTAATTAATACTTAAATAAAAAAAAAGCAACGAATAGTTTACAAAAGAAGTAATCAAAGAACACTAACAAGTTCATTTTCGATTTAATTTTAAAATTTCAAAAAGCTTTAACTCTTCATTATTGAACGAAAATCATATCAAATCAATAGCATGAATTATCATCTCAAAGGGAATAATTATTCTATTGGGATTGTATCCATTGTCAAAGCCTTTAGAAAATTTCCCTTAAAAGAAGTGTTGTTTGTCATAATTTGTGTAACCTGTGGTTTTATGTAAATAAGCTTACAGCCGACAACCCTAACGAAAGAGAAAATAATATCCGAACAGCAACTCTGCAACTCTATGATATGAAAGCCTATGAAGGGAAACTTGGAAAAAAATCTATCAGTAGAAAAATAACGTGGAGAGGAGATTTCTTCACTTTTTCAATACTCTCACAGCCTCTCTGTCTCTCTCTTTCCGACAGGCGTTGTATTTTCCGCTTACTTGGCAGCATCGCAGAATTCGTAGAATTGCGCTGGCATTGGTATTGTCAATGAATGATTTGTTTGCTCTGAGAGGATTTCTTTTAATTTTAAAAAGAGGCAAGGAAGTAGGGAGAAATATGAATATAAATCTAAACTTTTTCAATTTTCATTTCAGTCTTGAAAAAGTGTGAGAGAGAGGGTGTGCTGAAGTTCTGTAAATGTTTTAAATTTCTGTACGTAAAAATAATACAATTTGATCGTGGAGCTATCGGATTTATCGGGTAGACGAGATTGCAGTAATTTAAAAAAATAAATAGAAAAATAATCGTATCTATCAGCAAAGAGAATATTGCAATCATCGTTAATAATACGTAACAGTGGTATCCAATATCAGTCTCAATGTTATAAAGAAAATTAAGTGAACTGAAAAGAAATATATATATCAAAAAAGGAGAAACTTAACAAAGAAAAATGTTTTCAAGACCCAAGTAAGTTGTGGCTTTCAACAATTTGATTTTCTGTCAACAATTTACCGTAAAATAGTTACTAAAATCAAAATGCTTATGCAACCTATGTTCTTCGTTTTGCAAAAATTTGCGTTAAAAGGATGAACTGACAAATTCGCTGTGTTCTCTCTCTTGATTCTTGCCGCAAGAGCGCATACCTTAGTAATGTTTGCGTAATGCCAATCTATGCCAATCTGGTTGAATTAGGACCCTCACTTTGTACAAAGAAGAGTTCATGATTAGTGCATAAACTTGACCATGAGCTAAATTACTAAGCATTTTATCATATACTCGTTTTATATACCAATTATATTTATAAATTATTTTCGGCAAGGAATCCTCGCAGAAAGGTTCTTAAAGTAGAAAATTTAAATTCACTTGATCGCAATTAACTTCTGACTTGAGGTTTATTGGGGGATGGTCGTTTGTCCTTTTGGCAAGATTGTATGGATTATATAATCACCAATTGTGAAAAATAGCAAAATTTCAACGAAGGTAAAACCGCAAACAAATATCTGATGAATGTTTTCTCATCTCTCTTCTTTGTGTTTAAGTATTAAAAATAAAAGTGTTTGCTATGTACATTTGCATATATTGAAGATTTTTTTCCCGTTTTCTGAGAAAATCTTGTGAAAAATCAATAAGAAATATAACCATAAGTGTACATTGACAATGGAAATTAAGGAGAGTATCTTTCAGTCGTTTTGTTAATTTTTCTATATTTTCTTAGCGTAGTTGTATGTATCATCTCGTCCGCCTCGTTTATATGTGACACCAAACGATAATATTGTCCTCTTTAAATGTTATTTCTCTAAATTTAGCAACTGCTTGTTTATTTGTTTATATGCACTACCAGCATATATATATAAACATGCACATATAAACATGCATTTATACCATTGTTTTATTTAGATATTTATATGTTTTGTTTTGCTTTTATATATTCACCGCGCCTTGCGTGGGGAATTAGTTTTGTTATTTCATATGTAATAACCAGAAATACTTAATAAAACGGCCGGAGTGCGTAAATAGTTCGGATTCGGTTTACTCCTTTCTTTACGCTTATGCGTAATGGGCATTTGTAAAGATCGAAAAATTGAATTCCGAAGCTGCCATTCAATAAAGTTAGACAATTAACTTTGCAAAGAATTCGTCCAGAAACTGCGCTCGTGATAATTAAAAACTTCAAGGACAGGATACGTAAAATAGATTGCATTATTTCATTTTATTGGGAAGTGAAATGAAGATCAACTCAAATGTCTACAAGGGACGGAATGACGAGGATTAAAAAACTTTGTAAGCACATGATGATTGCCTGATTCAAGATTCGCTTTAGATCTAACCATTCTTTTCGATAAGGTTCTCCAAATGTTTGGTGTGGATTCCTAACTTTTCTTAAAAAACTAGCTAGCTAGGTTTTCCATATAAAGTTTATAACTTAATTGACTACTTTAGTTGACTGCACCTGTTCTTTGTTGGATTTATTTATTTTTTCTTTTTTTTGATGATTTCCTCTAAACGGTATCCGAATTGATAGAAATGCAATAAAAGTTTATTACATATGCAGATGTATGTTAGAATCTAATCCTTTAGTAGCAAATTGAAAAGATGGAAGAAATTTCGCGCAAATCGCTTGAATCGCAATGAACTTACACTACCGCAACAGTGACTCGTAGATAAGATGTATTTGCTTCGGCTTGCAACAGTTTTCATTGAAAAATATAACCAAGTATATTTCTATGCAACAAACGTGACAGAGTAATTCGATAGAAAGCAACAACCTGAAAATTTATTTCTATAGTGAACGTAACAGCGACTAAGAGGTCGCTTGCGAAGTAAGCTTAAAATAAGCGTAATAGGTAAACTTAATGTAAGCATCGAATCGTTGAGGATGTTGAGGAAGGCAGCCATGGAAACGTGGAAAACAAGTATATTGATAAAATACAAATAAATATTAGATTATCATAATATCGCAAAAAATTGTTAGAAGCGGTTTACTTATTTTGCTCCAAAGAAGACTTAGAACAACACATCACATGTAAAATAAGTAAAAATTTGTTTAAAATTACTCACTTCTATTCTTAATTTCTTAAGGAAAACCTACTCAAAGGATTGAATTTAGCTAAATTGAGAAACCTAAACTAAATTCATTAAGAAGTTTCTCTACTAAGGTCTCGATTTCTAAAAGCTGGACTTCTTCCTATTTTGGATTTCTGTTTTGTGAATTAAGTATATATGAAAAGCATAAAAAAATGACGCACCAACTTTTTTCTTTCCTCTGGGCAACATAAATGCGAAATTCCTAACAGTGGAACGATTAAGGTCATAAAATCATCAAAAAGTTGTATACCAACATTTTTTCATTTTTAAGTCACGAAGTTTTTTAATAGGAATCGAATTCATAGACATCGGGCAAATGTCTGGAAGCGCGTGCGAAGGGAATAAGTTCAAATAATTTCGTCATCATCCAATAATAAAATTAATTGACAAATATATCAGTTTCTCTGGTATCTGTTCAATATATTCTCATAAAGTTTGGTTTTCTATTTTTGTCCCAATTGTATAGGCTCACACAGTTTTGTGTGTAATAGATGTGGCAGTGGTAACTAGTTTATCAAAGCTCGTGCCGTCTGTTATTTGTGTTTTGTTGTTTTTATTTTCTAATTCAAATATGGCACATATACCAATGGACACTTAATGAACATTACACACGTAATCCCCCTTCTCTCGCTATAAATCACAGTTAAATTGCTACACTTTTCTAAACTGATGTTTTCCACTTTTGATTATTATTATTCTCATTTAATAGTCTTTACGGTAATCTAACTAAAATATGCGGTAATATGAGAACAACAGCACTGGTAAATCCCTCGTCGGTTACAGCTGCAGCCGCATCATCGCCTACACCGTACAGTAATGCGAATGTGCGTCAATACCACGAAGTAGTGGGTGATATTGTATGCCCCTCTCAAGTGAGAGGCATTGACCATATCAGAGATCCCCGCTTAAATAAAGTGAGTATCAAACCAATGAAAGAAATAAAAACGTTCATTAACTTTTCTTTGCAATTTCCTTGTAGGGCTTGGCGTTCACATTGGAAGAACGTCAGATATTGGGCATACATGGTTTGCAGCCGGCTCGTTTTAAAACCATGGAAGAACAGTTGGAATTATGTAAAATTGCTGTCAACCGTTACATGGAACCCTTGAATAAATATTTATACTTGGCTGATTTAGCCGATCGTAACGAACATTTGTATTTTCGTTTTCTGTACGATAACATAGAGGATCTTATGCCCATCGTATATACGCCCACTGTGGGTTTGGCTTGCCAACGTTTTGGTTTAATTTATCGGCGGCCGCGTGGTTTGTTTATTACGGTTAACGATCGGGGCCACGTATTTGACATCTTGAGAAACTGGTAAGTGGTTTTATAATTAAATCGCATAATATTTTGACTCTGGACGTATAAATAATTTCTAAATATGTCTGCTAGGCCTGAGCCAGATGTACGTGCTATTTGTGTAACTGACGGTGAGCGCATCTTGGGTCTGGGTGATTTAGGTGCTAATGGTATGGGTATACCCGTCGGCAAATTGGCATTGTATACGGCTTTGGCCGGCATTAAACCACATCAATGCTTACCAGTTTTGATAGACGTTGGCACTAACAGTTATGATCTTCTTGAAGATCCTTTGTATGTCGGTTTGCGTCAGAAACGGGTTATTGGCAAAGAATACGATGATTTCATTGATGAATTTATGGAAGCTGTTGTTAAACGTTATGGTCAAAATACGTTAATCCAATTTGAAGATTTCGGCAATCAAAATGCATTTAGATTCCTGGATAAATTCCGGAACACATATTGTACTTTCAACGACGACATTCAAGGTACTGCCGCCGTAGCCGTGGCTGGGTTATATGCATCCAAGCGTATCACCAATCGTAATTTCGCTGATTCAACGTTCGTGTTTGCGGGTGCCGGCGAGGCTGCTATTGGCATTGCCTCATTGTGCGTAAAAGCAATGGTGGACGAAGGTGTAGATGAGAAAGTGAGCTAGCAATGCAATTTAAGAAGCTTTAGCGTAGTTTCGTAACTAATTCGAATTAATTAAAAATTGAAACAGACTGCTCTTTCAAAAATTTGGATGGTGGATATTGATGGCCTTTTGACAACGACGCGAAAAAAGGGTACAATATCTACTCATCAAACCAAATTTGCTAAAGATGTGGAGCCGTTAGATAAACTTGAGGATATAGTAACAAAATACAAACCGAATGTTAGTATTGCTATGAAAGTACAGAAATAATTTTAACAAAATAAAAAATTTTAAATCTTAGGTATTGATTGGGGCCTCAGCTGCTGCTGGCATCTTTACACCAAAAATCCTTCAAACTATGGCTGCTAACAATGAACGCCCGATTGTATTTGCATTATCAAATCCAACCAGCAAGGCCGAATGCACTGCCGAGCAGGCATATCAAAACACTGATGTAAGCTTGCGATTTGGTCGCGATTTTAGCAAATGAATTTATTTCCTTCCTTTTGTGTACAGGGTCGTGTAGTGTTCTCATCTGGTTCTCCGTTCCCACCAGTGACCATTAATAATAAGACCTTTACACCTGGCCAAGGTAACAATGCGTATATTTTCCCCGGAGTAGCATTAGGTGTTATCGCCACCGGGACTCATCACATACCCGAAGATATGTTCCTCATCTCGGCAAAAGAATTGGCGAATTTCGTTGAACAATCCGACTTAGATCGCGGTTCTTTATACCCACCACTAAAAAGTATTCATGAAGTATCAATGCGTATTGCATGTGCTATTACCTCTTACGCCTACAAAGAAGGTATATACATTAATTATTTAAGCCCAACTTTAATAATAGCATTAAACATATGTTCACAAAAATCACACATTAGGTTTGAACTTTAGGGACATAGACACAAACTATGCCCATATTTAACAATAACAATTCCTTAGTACGCCAAGTTGAATGCATGTTTTTTATTTTCGTAATACATCCTTTTCATAAACAGGCATATTGTAACATGCAACGATCTCTTTACATATATTTATTTACATATTGTAATATAAAATGTCTTTTACGAATCTTAAATTTTTTTTCAAGTCCTTGAATAGTGATTATTATGATAATACACGTTTTATTTACATTTCTTAAGAGATCTTATAGTCAAAATCTTTTAATTCTTGTCCTTTCGAACATTGCAATTCAACTGTCTTGACTTGAGACTTTGCCTGCCACAAATATCCTGCGTATAAATGCTTTCATAACCTTGCAAGCGTCTAATTTAAATGCGATATTATTGTACTACTTCCTTTTCACGCTAAATGTTCTGTTGATTGTTGCTTATGTTTTCAACAAGCTGTTTGTTTCCGTCATTTCGGGGTTTTTCAATGTCTCAAAAATGACGAAAGTTGCGTTACTTTAGCTGCCTTAGGGGACGTCCACGAGTCACTCCCGTGCATTCTTGGCCGATTGGTGTACATATTCTGCACCAGCAAAAATTGATACCGGCAGGCATTGTTAAATCGACCCATACATAATGTTACATCGTTCGAATATGATTATGTATTTTTCTTCAGCTGAGAATACAATAAATCTACGTTAGTATTACCTTACTCTATAACTGCACATACATTTCCAGACACTATTTCTTAGTAAAAAATCTAGTAATGAGCGCCATCAAATCAACAATTTATACAGATCAATTTGATCAATATATAACGCACGGAACTCGATCTGAGGGGATCATTCGTCCTGTGCTGCCATCTTTTCATCTACAAATCCTTGGCAGTCGTTCATTGTCTATGATTATATTTAATACGCTGGCATACAGTAGCGTAACAAAATCTACATACAGTATCGAAAATTAAAAACTGCATTTGTGAGTTGAGGGCCAACAAATACGTTTCTTAAGAAACAAAGAATTATATTAAATATCACCAAGATTTTCTTTCGACTTAAGATAAAGATATAAGTAAAAAAGATTCTTTAACCCGATAAAAAAGCCAAAAAAATTCCACATACAGCATCACTAATGCTTCGAGTTTGCAAAACTCCACAAGAATCACAATATAAACTGTTAATGACTACTCTAATTTTAGCTAAAAAGCTAGAACGTGCTTTGGGTACTATTTGATAAACCTCATTTCAATTTATATATTAAGCGGTGCGATAAAAGAGCTAGATCTACCTTTAGCGTTATAAGACGCTCATCAATTAAAGCAGTCCACAAAAAATTCTTAGATCTTGCATTAAGGAATTTGACGTGATAATCTCGCGTTTCATTGCCATCTTATGAAAGGGGATTATTATTTGTAGCTTTACCTCAGCAAATTCCAGTCAGGAGTAGTTAAGAATTGAAATGATTCGGACAGAAATACATCTTATGGAGCCTTTAAAAATGACAACACCAGTACAATCTGGAGGATCTTTTGTGAAAACATGGAACGTCTTGGGAAAAAGTTTCGGCGAGTGCAGATGTGGCCAGCTTTTAGTGAACACCAAACAGAAACATTCTCGACTCACAGATTCCGGATAGGTAAACCGAATTTTGGAGCTTAGGTCCGTGCCGTTTTGGTGAATGGTTGTCACCGGGTCTGAGGAAAAATTTAATTTTTGCGGGCGGAAGCGTCCTTGTACGTCGCTGGGTTACGCAGCTGCAACTTCGAGATTTATCCGTAGGAATTAGTTATTTGGCAGTTTTTGCTTGCTCGTTTGGAATAAAGAAACAAACTATGCTGGCAGGCGGCGGCGGCGGGCAATCGTAACAACACGTTCTCGGTTGGTTTTTTAATCAAAACTGGGTAAATTGATTGGCCGCATTCAGGCGTATAGCCGTAGTACACCGAGACGTGTGAACGTCTGCTTGCTGGAACATACCCACCGTTCCCTAGGGTAGGAATATTGATAGTAATCGACTGTCATTTTAGCTTAATAATTGGCATCCGTTGGTAACTTGAGAACTTCTATTATGTTATTTTATTGAATTGTTAATACATATATGGCCTATGAATCCATTGCCTTATTGGTGTGCTTATGCTGGTACTGAATTTTCGTTGAGTTTTAATTGAATTTTATAGCATAGTTTAGGCATAAGATTACACATGCATGTGTTAGATAGCTTAAAGAGAAGCCTGCGCTTAAATTAGACCTGAAAAGAAAGTGTGAAAAGAGCAGCTTTCGCTTTTAACAATGATGTAAAAATGAACACGCTTGCGATAAAAGATTAGTAAAAGGTAGCATACGATTTCTTATAATATTAAGGCATACTTCTTATGAAGAAGTATTTTGCATATCACAGAGTACAAAAATGCTCACGTCCCTTTAAAATATTTGGAATCATTTAGTGTATTTAGTAGATCAAAATGTTATTTTTATTATTATTATCCAATTCCTTTCTATTCATTTCTTTAGGTTTGGCCTCTACTTATCCGGAGCCTGAGTGCAAACGTGAATGGTTGAAGGAGCAATTGTACAATTTCAATTACGAGTCATCTATGCCTGTGACTTGGGCGTGGCCGCGGATGCCCTATTTTAAGACACGTGAATTACAACCTCAAAAACTATACGGCAAGACCCTGCATTAAATTTTTGTTTTTCTGTTTTTTCTTCCTCTTTATTTAGGTAAAGATAGTCCACTTTTATCGTCCATGAAATAGATTTAGACGCGCTAACGTCACGTTAACATCTGATATATTCTCATATGTTTATAATATGCTTGATTGTGTTGAGATTGCACAAAATGGTTAAATTCCTGTCGATAGCGTATCGTGTTAGTCTTCTAGTTCTACCACCATCATTTCAGCTACGACTTTTCAATCTTCTACTATTCGACACTTCTTCCCGTATTACTTGGTCTATCCCAGGTTCAGTTAACGACTACTGCAAATAACAAATTAGTTTCGTAGTTAATGGAAATAATTTAATTTTTTCTTTTTGTTTCGAAAAAATTTTCATCGTTCTATCCAAGTAGTGGTAATCCTACCCCACGATTAACCTTAAATTGGTTAAACGAATGTTGTTTTAATACCTGTTATTTTCTGTTTTCCTTTGTGATAAAAAGTTGTTTCATTTCGTTCCTCCTCGCAAATCGCTTCAGTATTTTACCCTTGTTGCTAAACTCCAGCGCTTGCATACATAAAGTTTCATGTTTGTGCATCGGTACACATCTTGCTTCAACTCTATGCTAAACGTTGAAATTGTTAAAACATTTATAGTTTCAAAATTGGTTATTTTTAGGTCTTTTGTTTTATTTCCTTAATTTTTTTTTTTAATTGTTTTTTCAGCAAAGTAAAAAGATCATTAATTAGTTGCGTTAATCATTAAGTACAAACCTGTCTAAATATTAACTCCAGTTCATAAAAATCTTCTAAAAAAAGTGTGGTTATTAAATTTATGATTAAACTGTGCTCTTGTTGGCGAGCATGCCTCTCCTGCTCCCTCCCCATCATTGCTCCACTCAATAATACCACATTGTAAATGTAAAATGTTAATGTATTTATTTATATTCACGTATTTTTTATTTCGAGAGAAGTTTTGTTTTTAAATATAATTTATAAAACCTTGCTACGATTTTTATTTTTCATTTATATTAAGACGTTTCACTCCTTGATTTACTATTATTACTGCTTTGTTTTATTAAGAGAACAACCTTGTAAAGGGATCAGACATAAGAAAAATATATTTATTGTGGTTACAAATTACACTGAAACGTAAAAATTTAATGGGGTACGTGTACGTAAGTAAGTAACAAACTGACACATTATTGCAAACTTAAATAAAATTTCTTTTTTCACCTAAAAAGAAGAGGGGTAACATTATCTTAAACTAAAAAAAAAAAAGTTTTTTCTCTTTTCCCTTAAAAGACAAGTCCTAACATCATCCGAAACTTGAAAAAATAATAACTTTTTCTTGCGCCAACAACTTAAGGGATAATTTTCTAGATTGTCCTAAAATTGAAAAAAAATTAAATTTTTGTTCCTTAGCAGAAAGGGCATTACGAGCTCGAGGAGGCAAAATTTTCAGGATATAAAAAAATGATTAATAAATTTAGAGAGAGTCGTCGTATTGTTCGTCATAGGTTTCAGAGAAATCTTTATATCTATTTACC